GGATAAGAAGATAAGGGCTTTAACATAACTTTGGGGGAACACAATTCAGTCCATAACACTCTTCTGTTGGTATTTACTGCACCTCCCAAATAAACTACTTCCATCTAAACTCCTACTCGGTGTCTGCTTCTGGGGGGAATGCAAATTAAGGAAATCTCTAAAAAATAAGGTCTCTTGAAATAAATAACCAGATCACTCCACATACTCTTTCTAGCTACATGTCAAATGTTGACCCATTCTGTCTCATTTTGTTGGCTTTCTACATGCTCATCTCCTCACAGTGACAACAGGACTTCATTGATCTTCTTATCTGCTTCATTGATCTTCTTATCCCTAAGCAAGCAGTTCCTCTGACTGGGAGACACCAACTGCTACTTGATTTGCTTAAATCAATGAGTTAGTTCTAATCTGCCTTGGAAACAAAGTTATAATAGAATAGGAAAAAAAATCCAAACAACAAATAAAAGTCATTGCTGTTAGCAGGGAAAGGAGTGTGGGAGGAGTCAAGACAGGGGAGGGAAGACCACAAGGGACTGTGGTGATGGATCACCGGCTCCACCATGGTGGGAGAACTAAGGGGACTACACTTGAGGGGAGAAAACACTGTTCAAAAATGAACAATGATATAAGAAAATAAATTAATTGATTAAAAAAAAGCCATTGCTGTTAAATAATGTAAAATCCCTGCTAACTCATAAACACAAATTTGTAACATCTATCCCTGATTAAGGCATTGGGTGTTTATTGATTTAATTAAGGTTTGAATACTTTAAAGGTGTCTATATAATATCATCAATTGACATATAGGGTAGATACTAATTTATGTCAGACTTTCAAGCAGCTAGTGTCACCTACTGGTGAGGACTGGGTAGTGCGCTAAAGACAATATTTCTCTGAGTTCCTGAATTTGGTAGGTTACATAACAAGAACAGTTTGAAGTATTAGTAAACAACAAAAACTTGGCACAATAGAAAAAATATTTATACAACATGTAATTATGTTTCTTGTGAAAAGAAACTATCAGAAATGTATCTTCACAGCTACATATATATAAGCCTCAAAAAAGTAAAATCAGAGAGTATTGATTATGAAAAAAAAGTTAAATGAAGGCAACCAGAAGTGGGAGGTGCATAATAATCATAATAATCTTTCAACATTTCTCAATTCACATAATCCCAATATTTTAAGTAAAAGCAATAAGTGAAAAATACTTTTATGCAGGGCCTCCCCTGGTGGCACAGGCAGTTGAGTGCTGCACTGTGAAGCGCCTCTTCAGTGCCAGTTCGATCCCTGCCTGCTGGTGAGGGTCCCACATGGCGCCCAGACCTTTCCTGTCGTGCCCGCTGCTCCCCACAGCAGTGTATTTCGTCAGTCTGCCTGTTCTGTTTCCTGCTCTGTCTCTGGTGAATCCTCTCACCCTCCCCCGCATCTGGCCTGTATCCCGGTTCTTGTATAAATAAATAAAATAAATGTAAAAAAACAACTTTTATGGAAATAGCACTATTCATGTTTGCTGTTAACCATACCCAGAAGCCTCTAATTAGCAGTGTAGGATTTCAGGGGCTCCTGGTCTTCTATGTTCTCAGCTGTCTTTTCATTTCCTCCCACAGTAACTTCTGGACTATGATTCAGTTTTATATTAGTTGCAACAAATTCCACTAGAGGAAAGCACAAACATGCATGTTTGCTATTACCCCTTCTCTCTTATATAAGAGAGAATACATATTCTCTTTTGCACTTGGATTTACTTAGAAAAATATATCCTGAAGACCATCCCACACTGGTTCATAGCAACCTCTTATTTTTCACTTTTATTGCAGTGTATTTGACAAATAAATCTATAATATAGTTAAAATATACAATGTGATTTGATACATGTATACATTGTGAAAGGGTTCCTACACCGAGTTAATTAACGCCCCATAATCAACTCATGCAGTTTCCTTTTTTATTTTAAAAAAAATTTTTTAAGATTGATTTATTTATTTATACAAGCACTGAGTACAGTCGGAGGCATGGGAGGGTAAGAGAATTCACCAGAGCCAGAGCGGAGAGTAGAACAGACAGAGTGACGAACTACACTGCTGAGGGGAGCAGCGGGCGGCAGGAGAGGTCTGCGCGCCATGTGGGACCCTTGCCTGGCAGCCAGGGATTGAACCGGCGCTGCAGAGGCTGTGGGCAGCTTCGCAACCCAGCGTTCAACCGCTGCGCCACTGGGGAGGCCCTAAAAATTTTTTTTGATGACAACATTTAAGTTCTACTCTCTCAGGAAATTTCAAATGTGTAATACAAAAATATCAACCGTAGTCACCATCCTGTACATTATATCCTCAAGCTTATTCATCTTATAATTGGAAATTCAAATGCTGATAGCACCCCTGTTATCTGTAGTTTTTTTTTTTTTTAAGATTTATTTATTTATTTATACAAGCACTGGATACAGAGCCAGAGCGGGGAACAGAACAGGTAAACTGACGAAGTACGCTGCTGAGGGGAGCAGTGGGCAGCAGTAGAGGTCTGCGCGCCATGAAGGACCCTCGCCGGTGGCCCGGTATCAAACCGGCGCTGCAGAGGTTGTGGGCAGCTTCGCAGCCCAGCGCTTAACCGCTGCGCCACCAGGGGAGGCCCTGTAATTTGTAGTTTTGTGGGGATATTTTGTCCTGGTTATTGCTCCTATTTCTGTGGGGTTTTGGTAATGGAGTAAGTCCCTAACATTAACCATAGGTTCTTAGAAACTGTGACTTAAAGAAAAACTAGATAGTACAACAAACCAGGTTCTCAAATAATACTGATTTGTTCAGTGTCAAGCAGCACATTTTTTCCCTCATCATGCTAACAAAACGAGGTTGGATGAAATAACATTATTCAAGGACTGGTACCCATCCTATGGGACAGTCCAGGTAGATTATAAACCACTCATGCTCTACTGTCACTATCTTTCTAGTTTTAGTGACTGGATATTTTAGAAAGCTCAGTGACTCTCCTGAGCTGCCAGGGTTGCCATGATGTAATTGCTCTGGACTCCTTTCCAGACCTTTGTTCCTCAGGATTCGCCTCCATCTCATGCCTTCACTGCCTCCCATAGTCTTAGCATCCCTTGGCAGTTTCTCACTCCTGGATTCAATTTCTATATTAGACTGATCACAACCTCAGTTGCTTTTCCTGACCTGAGAATCATACCTAGACCTACCCATGTTATGGTTTCATTTGACCACCCCCCTGGGCAACCCCACTTATATTGTTCACATTTTTCCTGCCTCCTGGTGTTCTGCCCAGTGGTTCCAGTCACAAACATTGGAACCAACCTTAAAGCTCCTTCCTAAGGTGCAGCATCTATTCAGTCACCAGGACTTTTTTATTTAAAATCTACCTCTCATGTCTCCAAAATCCATCTAAATCTCCATTCCCCTGGCTGTTTTTGTGGTTGAAGCCACCATCTCTGAATGACTATAACTTATTTTTAAGTCATACAAATTATTGAAATTGTCTTAACTGGTCATGTGACAACCAAAATGAAGGAGGTAACCTCATCCTCCTTGCTTTAAAATCACCACTGTGTCTCTGGGTTCTTAGACTAAGTGTTATCTTTCCTGGCTCATAGGGAACTGTATGTCCTGGAACTGTTTAATTATTTTCAGTCTTGCTAGTATCCACCTCACACCAATATCTAGTCATCTGGAAGGTTTTCTGCTGCTCCAGGTCTTGGAATAGGTTGTTCTATTTTAACTAAAACACCTTCAAACCTTGCTCCCAGCCAACCCACCCTTAACTCTTCCTGCAGGACTTGACTTAAATGTCATCTCATGTCCTCTCCTCCCACCTGTCATACCTTCTAAATCTCTAGTGGATGTTCCCATGTGATCCCTGTTATTCGACAGACATAGAAATGACCACACTTCTTGCTGCGAAGGGCACAGATGCAAGTGCAGTCTTCAGTGAGTTTTAGGTCCTCAATAACTGACTGGCAAGGTAGTCGGGGCCTCTTTAGTATAAATTGATCTAATTTTACGTTAATGACAATGTTAATGCAAGATTGTATTCTCCCTCTGGATATTATTTATACGTAATAATATACTAGTTCTCTTTAAAAGCCAAGCATTTATTCATCTTTTACAGTTGAATGCCAGTTGACATACACCAAGTCTACCATCTGAGCTTTAAGTAATCAAGTAACTTTATTTGCTCTGAAAATTACTAACTGCCGAGGTTATGCTCACACCACGATGCCTTGGGTTCAAACGACTCTGACCTAAAGTACCTTTCAAGCTTTCCCATGAATTTAAAGGGCCATTTGTCTCACCAGCGTTGAAGGACTCGGAGGACGAGCAAAGTGCAAATGAGTCAAGAAACACAGACTGAGCAAGTCCATCTCATAATTCCCACTAAGCGCCAGACCAGAGTCACGTGGAATCTGGACCCTAGCCTCCTCCTGGGGTGGAACCAGCCTCCGCACACGCCCTCCCAGCACCTGGCCTTCCCTCTCGGCCCCGCCTCCACGGCACCGCCCAGCCTTGAGGCCCGCGTCCCGGCCCGGCCCCGCCTCCACAGTCCAGCCTTGCTCTGAGTCCGATCTCCAAGCCCCGCCCTCCCCAAACCACGCCCTCCCAAGCCCCGCCCGCCTCCAAGCCCCGCCCAGCTCCGAGCCCCGCCCGCCCCCACACTACCTTCCGCTCTTAGCCCCACCTTCGAGCCCGGCCCCCTCCCGCTACTGGCCCCGGCCCCAAACTCCGGTCCCGCCGAAGGCCCGCCTCCACGGCCCGGCTCCTCCCCCCAGCCCGTTCAGTTCTAAGCCGGGCCCAATCCTAAGCCCCACCGCCGCTCTCAGCTCGGTTTTCCGGGCCCTAACCGCGCACCCCTACACAAGCCAAAGCCCTGCACCCCCGAGTCCGAGTCACGCCGCCCCGTGCCGCCTCCCCCTCCCGGGGGCGGAGCCGCGTCAGGTGCGGGGGCCCCGGGCGTGGCGGGCGTCACGGAACGCCAGGTGCGGCTTCCGCGTCAAGATGGCTCCCGCGTCGCGCGCCGGGGCCTGGCTCCGGCCCTCCCGCCGCCTTCCATCGCGGGCCCGGCTGCTGTGCGTCGCCCTCTGCTTCCTGTGCTGGGCCCCGGCGGCCGTGGGCGGCGTCCCCGAGCTCGGGCTCTGGACCGCGACGGTCAGCGATGTAAGTGGAGTGGGGAACCCAGACGCGGCGCGTCTCCCGGGGCCGGCTCGGTCCCGCCGCCCCACGGCCCCGGCCCCGGCCTTGTTCATCTGCGCTTGCCAGGCCTGCTCTGGGTCCCCGGAGACGCTCCCTGAGCCTTTGTCCGTGTGGGTGGGACGCCCCCTCCTCCAGCCCGTCCGAGGCTGTGGGGAACATGATTGCAGTAATCATGTTTGTGCTTGAGGACCGTTCTCCCTTCTAAACGCTGTTACTCATCCCGAGAATCACCACTCCCCAAGTCCTGGCCTTTCGCTCTTTGACAAATTCTGGCTGGATCAGGTCCTCGTTTATTCAAACCTGAGCCCCCGAATTCCTCGGCACTTGAAGCGGCACCTTATGAGATTTGACCTCGGTTCCCCTTAAGCAGCCACAGGACCACACCCCTGAGGGCACAAGGACTTTTCCTGGACTGCTGTTTCGGCTTAAATGTAGAAAAGCACGTGTGCTGGTTGATTGATTTTTTTTCTTTTCTTTCTTTTTTTTTTTAATGAACAGGGAATAATTCAATAATCACTCACCACTCTCCCCTCTTTGTGGGTTCCTGCATTTCTCTAAGCCCCTATCCTAGTTCTGGACCTGTGTGTGTGGAGGTGGGTTGAGATGTGTGATAGGAGTGTTTGAAAGGCTGTCAGGAGGCATGAATGTGTGGAAACTAACTTTCCAGGGCTGGTCATTTGAGAACTTGGCATCCATTGCCTACATGAAATGATGTGGGAGGAATGCAAGAGTAGAATTTTGGAAACTCTTGCTAAAGAGGTTCGGGAAATCTGGAAGAGGCGTTAATTCTTGCTTTTTTAGGATCAGAGGGTGACTCATTCAGCTGTTTCAGATGAGACTTTTCCACATGCATTGAAATGTCAAAGGCAAAACCTTTATTTTTTATTTTTCTCAACCAGAGGCCACAAATGCTTCCTACATAACACAAACTACACCCTCCAGAATAGTTTAATTCCTAGTGCAACCATTTCTTCCAGTATTCTTCTGGATTGGTACCCTGTTTTGTGCACCAGTAATGTAGTCTGCATATCTCCATTATTGAATTTCTCTGAATGGTTAAAAAGCAAAACTCTTGGTTTCATGCTGTGTCCTGCCGCGGGCAATGGATGATGAGGCCGTGGATGATGAGGCCGTCTCAGGGTTGAGAGATTGCGCGGGGCGGTCAGGGAGTTGGCCACTTCAAGAGACACACTTCAAGAGAGTGAAAATCTGAGTGCAATTTTATTTGAGTCAGTGGTCAGTATATATATGTTTTTCTAAAGGCATAGGATCAGTTATCAGTGAACTAAACCAGCTGGCTCATAGGTTTAACTTATTGACAGGGCAGTGATCTATGTCCCAAGTTACATCTGGACCTAGTCATATTGCTAAGTAGTCAGGCTAATAATCTTTTTTTTGTTCTATGTAATTACCTTTTTTGTATTAATAACTATTCACTACCACTAACTTATTTATTAGTATGGGTGAATATACTTTTCACAAAGTAATATTTTTTCATTAAGATCAAAGCTAACAAAGCCAAGGACACAACAGAGAAATCATAAAACTAACAATTCTATTATTACACAGAGTTTAGTAACATTTCATTTGAATTAGCCTAATTATTAAATTATGTATGTTTTTTAATTAGCAACCAATGACCAGAAAAAGGAAAGATTTTAGAAAGACAGTTGTAGCAGAATAAAGTTTGTGGGCCTTGAGAAAGCGAGATAAGGTTCTGTGTGTTCAGCATTCCTTTTTACTTTCTTTGTGGCGGCCTCTGGTGGTCGTTATCTCTTAACAGGCATCCCGCCTATCTAAGCTTTAGGGAGTTTGCTGTTCTCCCCCTGCGCGCATGGTTCCTTGCCCACGCTGGACCTCAGGGACCATGGCAACAGCCATTAGCCCTGAAGGTCACTGCAGGGGGAGGTGCAGCATGTCCATAGTGACACACACTAATATAAACTAAGTCAGAATAAGTAATATTAAAGTGAATCAACTGTTCACAGATTGTTAAACTACTTAACCATATCTGTAAAGATCTTTGCTAATTATACTTTGGATGGTGATATTCCAAAGGCCATAGGGGAGGAGTGACTTTACTTCCTGACTAACAAAGACACATTTTTTTTCTTTGGTCCCACATAAGCTTTAGTACTGTGTGACTCAAGTCAACAGCAGTTCAGAAGGTCCACCGTTGTTGAGTAGTGTGATAATGTCCCTTTTCAAGTTAGTAGAACTTCTTTAAATGGAAAAGGAAAGGGCCTCCCCTGGTGGCGCCGCAGTTGAGCGCTTGGTTCCTCTGCAGTGCCAGTTTGAGCCCCGGCGAGGGTCCACAAAAAAAATAAATAAATAAAAATAAACAGAAAAGGAAAATGGGGAAATATTTCATTTGCACTGCTCATCTATCAAGAAATGGGTCTTTTGATTGTAAAGATCAGCAAATAGTTTGAGTACCTAATGTGCACCATGCACTATACTGACCATTATTGCAAAGATGAATTTTAGATACAGCCCTTTCAGGAAACTCAGGCAACAATAGTCACAGCAGATTCATGAGTAATTACATATGTGGCAGCATTTGGGGATATTAGCCAAGCACCAGGATGATCACCCTATGTTGCTTTCTGCTGGCTGGTTCTAAAAGATAAGTAGATGTCACCTTGGTGAAGAAGAAAGAGGGGAGTACAGCTGCAGCAGTACTTGGGGCCTCTACTTCATGAAGTTCAGGCAAGAGTGTTAGAAGGGTCTCATAGTCTTTCCTGCCCAAGTTTGGCCTTGAGCTTGAAGCCAGGGGTTGCAAACTCAAAGACCTATGGGAACTGAGGCAAGTGAGTTAAGTGAAGTAGGTTCAGGACTGGGGAGAGTGGGCAACTGGGTGGACTACATACAGATTGCATAATCTTCTAAAGAGGGCAATTGTCATTCAGCTCCAGCTGATAGAAACTATATGGCAGTGGCAGTGTGGGCACAGAATTGCCAGGTCTCCTTTTTATAAGGTGAAGCCAGAACCCATAATTTTATTATGTTAACTAATTGAAAGTTTTTTAAAAGGCCCCTGGTGGGCCAAACACCTATAGAATAGAAAAGGCTACCTGACCACCAGTAGCTACTTTCTGGTGTGAATGAGAGAGAGCCATTGAAAGATTTTAGATTTTAATAAATGCTAATAATCCCTCTGACTGCTATCTAGGGATAAATTATAATCTTACCTCTGGAGACAGAGGTACCAATTAAGTTACTATAGAATGGTAGGCAGGAAATGTTGAGGACTTGCATTAAGGCAGTGGTGGTGGGAATGGAGAGAAAGAACTAAATTTGGGAAGTGTTTGTGAGATATCATAGACATACTTTGGGGTTGGGTGATGGAGATGAGGCACTAGGAGGAGCCATGGCTTGGGTGACTGTGGGTGTCACCACCTACAACCAGAATAGTGTAGAAAGAGTTGGTGAGGAAAAGAGGAATGTTGCTGGTTTAGGTGATGTTGGTCACTGCAGAGGATATGACCTTTAGACAGTTAAGTATGTGGATCAGAGGAGGTATCCAGGCTTGGAGTTTTGTTGTTCATTGTTGAAATTCCTGGGGAGGGAAAGACAGTAAGAAAAAAATGACTGTCCTCTCATTGTTTTAAAAAATTCTTAATCACTTGCTCATTTAACACAGTCCCTTCAGACATTAAACAGTTAGCTAATACATTACTTCATTTTGGTTGTAGTAAGGGTTGTGAGGATCAGTGGATCTTAGGAACCATGTATGGGACCTGGCTTGGTTTAAGCCATAATAGAAGACTTCCTGAGAAAGTCTTTTGAACCTAGCCTTGAAGGATAAGAAGGAATTACCTAGATGAAGAGTGACATGGAAGGGTTTTTAAGGAAGTGTTCAGGTTGACCACTAAGGCTCTGGGTGCAGGAGGGAGACTCAATCATGCTTTTTGGAACTTAAAGAGAGGTGGGCAGGCCTTGATCATGCAGGACCCTGTAGCTCTGACAAGCTGTTAAAAGTACACGTGCAAACCTACAGCACTTTAGGGAAAGGAATCCCTGTTTTAGCAAAAGTACTTTAATGTTCCCAAGACAGCAGCTAAATGCACAGATGGGTCCTGTGTCCCAACAGCAGTAATCATGCAATGGCAGCAGCCCCAGGGTGAGACACTTGAGGCAGGAACTTTCCAGAACCTCACAACTGAAGGAAATTGATATGGCAGGCAAGCTTTTAAGCAAGTGAATGATGTGATCAAATGAACATTTTTAAAAAATAATCACTGTGGGGGCCTTCCCCGTGACACAGGGGTTAAGCCTTAGCACTATCATGTTATCCCTCAGTCACTGCAGCACCAGTTCAATCCCCTGCCAGGGAGCTAACCCACATGGCGCAGCAGATCTCTCCTGTCTCACCCACTGTTCCCCTCAGCAGTGTATTTCAGTCAATCTGCCTGTTTTGCTCCCCACTCTCGTGAAAGGATTTACCCCCCCCCGCCCCAGCCCTGCACCTCTGGCCTACACCCCAGCTCTTGTATGCATAAATAAATAAATCTTAAAAAAAAATAATCACTGTGGTCACAGGATTAAAGCTATATATTTTCTAGGGTAAAGCAATGAAACGGTAGAGAAAATTTTTTAAAACTTTCCTTGTTTTTCCATTTTAGAAATCAGGACCGCTGATATTTAGGAAAACTATGTTTAACTCTACGGATATCAAGTTTTCTGGTAAGTGTAATAAACTTTAATAAAATAAATACAAATGTAACAATATAAACAAGGAACATCTTGCAATACATGTTTTATAAACTAATTCATTAATATATTGTGAACTAATATAATCTATATTATGAACTAGGCAAATGTTTTGTTTTTGCGTGGTTCTAGTGTTTTAAGGGTTTCTTTTGTTTCAATCAAAGCTTAGTTATTTGCAACAATAGATTTTTCTGAACCTGTCTCAGAAAATGTAATATGAATCATTCCTTAAAAATTATCACTAAAGTCTAGTAAAGTATTCTTTAGCAAGAAAGTATTTGATTTCTATGAAATTTGACTCTGAATTCCAGCTTTTCAAACTAGATGCATTTCTTTTAGTAACAGATGAAATGTCACGATTGTGATAAACTATGATCTGAAGATTTTCTAAATAAATACATGATCATAGTATGAAATTAAAATTATCAGATGCTAATATTTTAATTAGGATTTTAATACTTATGAAAATCAAAGTATTTGTTAGCACTGTGTTGTCAATGTAAACACAATATAAATACTGATATGCCAGTCATAGAGCTTGAGGTTTTCAGTATTTTTAATGGATTTATATTGGATAACATTTACTGTAGTCTAACTCCTCTTATTATTTCCAGTCACTTGACTAGATGAGTTGGTGGTCAGAGTTAGAGTTTAGGGATAAGGAGCAGTGTTCAATGGGTATAGCATATTGGCTTTTTAGGGTCCAAACACACTTCCCTTTTCTCTAGCACACCATGTACTGATTGTTTGTTGGGGATTCTGATTTATGTGGGTCTTTGCTGAGGGAGGTAGGCCAGATAGCAACTACAAAACAGATGAGTTCAAAGCAGCTTGGTGATATCACAGATCATCAGTGGTGATAAGAGCTTGGTGAGGGGGAAAAAATAATGGCATCTAATTGTGGTAATGAATTTATACTCAGTCTTCAGACAATTAAAATGTAAAAGTCTAGTGTAGACAAAAAAAGTTACATGAATTATGAAAACGCAATTTGATTTAAAAAAATCAATCTGTAATATCTGAGAGCAGCCTAAGAATAACCCACAACTAAGACAGTGGTATTAACATAGCTAAAGTAAGAATGAGGCTCCAGAAACATTTAAAAATTAGGTAGTTTAGTCAGGCAAAAGCTGGCAGTGCCCCAACGGCATGGATGAGAGAGAGGTCTTGGACCATGACCGTAGCCTTGCCATGTGGCTGGCAGGTGTGGATGCCACCTCTACCTGAGCCTCCTTATTTTAGTGCCATGCTCGCCAAACAAACTTTTCATTACCATTGGGCATCCTTTCTAATTGATTATTACACATCCACTTTACAGTTCTTGTTCTTATTCATTTGGAAATTCTAGTTTATACATCTGCTTTAGTGGTGTGGTGAAGGACTGAGTCTCTGTTCTCACAAGGTCCCATTTTAGTGCCTGTAGAGCTAAGGATTAGCTTTTTTTTGATGTGTCAGTACTGTTTTGCATTTGAGACATCTGGCTTTCCCTCTTTTACTGTCCTGTTCTAGATTTAGTCATGTGGACCCACTGTTGAAAATCTCTTAGTATAGGGCCTCCCTGGTTGCCCAAGGGGTTGAGACACAACCTATGAGGCTGTCCGCAGCCACTGCAGCATGAGTTCGATCCCCATCCAAGGAGTACAATCCCTACCCTTGACTAAGAGATACTGAGGGAAGGGGAAGGCACCTTTGATAGAACAAGGATCAAGAGGCCTTTGGGCAGGGCACCTAACATAGTCTAGAAAAGCATAAAGAAATAGTATGCTTGCTAGAGAAGGCTTTAAACCTTCTGAAAGAAGAGCAGGAGTCAGCCAGATGAAGAGGAGGTCAACAGTATATGCAAATGCCCAGGATAAGTGAGACTACTGTTCCATGTCTATTCTTACACCAGTACCACACATTTATAATTACTGTAACTTTGTAAGTTTTAAAGTCCAATAGTAAAGTTCCTCAACTCTGTTCATTTTGAAAACTGTTTTTACTATTTTAGGTACTTTGTATTTTCATATAAATTTTACAAATAGCCAGTCAACTCCTATATAAAAATCTGCTTGGATTTTAACTGGGATTAATCGACTCTATAGACATGGGGAGAAATGACGATGATATAGATCTTTTTATAGATGCCTTTTATCAAGTTGAAGGAATTTCCTTCTGTTCCTAATTTTCTGAGAGTTTACCATGAATGGTTTGTTGAGTTTTTTTCCAAATGCTTTTCTGTATATACCAATATGATTATGTGGTACATTTCTCTTATCCTGTTAATATGGTGAATTACACTGAGAGATTTTTTCTTTTTTTTTTTTTAACGATTCATCCATTCATGCACATGAGAACTGGGGCACAGGCCAGAGGCATGGAGGGTGAGAGAATTCACCCGAGCCAGAGCAGGGAACAGAACAGGCAGACCAACTGAAAACACTGTTGAGGGGAGCAGCAGGCGAGCCAGGAGAGGTCTGTCGCGCCATGTAGGACCCTTGCCAGCGGCCGGCGCTGCAGAGGTTGCGGGCAGCTTTGTAGCCCAGCGCTCAACTGCTGCGCCACCAGGGGAGGCCCCACTCAGTAATTTTTTAATGAATCAATGAGTGAAGGAAACATTTTAGATGTATTAAGCAGTGACTAGCCTGTCCAACTACTCAGTTGACTTTAACATTGTTCTGAGCATATAGATGCAGCTGTGTACTATAATCACTTTTAGTTAAGTATAATAAGTTAATGTCTCATTTGCGGTGACTTTGGTAGAAATTAGGTAATATATTACTCATTGTTTCATTAAAGTAGCCTATTTTAAATTGTATTCTTGAAACCTTAAATTTATATTGAAATAAATATGTTATTATTGTAAAATGAAACTTTCTTTTTCTAAACAGTTAAGTCATTCAGTTGTTCTGGGCCTGTGAAGTTTACCATAGAGTGGCATTTGAAGTACCATATCTGTCACAATGAACATTTTGAGCTGGAAGTAAGTAAAACAAATTTTTAAGTCATGTAAAACTGTGAAGGAAAGATTTTGAGTGTATAGATTTAATAGCTCATTAGGTGAGGAGGCTAGAAATACTAGATTGTGCTTTAGAAGTTCCACAGATTTATTGGGACTTTGGCAATAAATAATTATATCAAAGTATATTCATAATAAGTATAAACCTTATGAAAAATGTTAGTAAATGTTTAAATCAGACCATGGAAACTATTGATACAAGGACCGTAGGTTACTTACAACAAATAAAAATCAACTTAATTCAAGAAATAAATGTAAAAGTTTCAATTCATTAAAAAAAATTAGTAATTCTATATTCTACATTTGTTAGCATTCTGACATTTTCCTTTGTTTTACCTCTCATAAATCAATCAGTTTTCAGTATGAACTCATATTTTTACTTTGTTTTGTGGGTTATAATATACTACAGGTCTGATTGATTTTGCTCAAACTGTTCCTTATTTTGCCAGTAGGAATCAACCTTTTCTTGATGCCTAGGAGCTGTAGCTAGGTCATCTTTATCCTTTCTAGGATGAAGAACCTTGGGTCATTGATACGGAAATGAGTGTCCTCTTTACACTCAGTTGAATTAGCCACTTTTGCTTTCTGTTGCTGTTTGGTTTGTCTGTCTTTGTGGTTTAATGCTACTTTCTTTCTGGGTCTCTTACATGTAGGGGAAAAAATGAAAGTCGCCTCAAGACAGAGTATTTCTTCATGGTCATACCTTAATTGCTTTTCTTACTAGAAGATTATGCGTGTATTAAATACTGCTATGTCTGAGAACACTAGAATGGCTAAAATGTTAGGATTACCTTAATTGTATTTAACATTATACTCAAAACTCTGGTATTTTGTTCTGCATATTTCAAGTATTCCAAACTGAATAAATGTTGGTATTACTTAGCTTTTAAATTTTATTTATCTTTTTGGCTAAGACATTTGGAAAAAATTATAAGAGAATTTTCTTTTGGGTAGGACCTGTCACGAAACCATGAACTTAGTGTTGATGAAGACTTTTGTGGTCATTATTTCAAGAACATTGATTGTTGGACAACAAAAAATGAAAACTTAGATTGCAACAGTGATTTGCAGGTGTTCCCTTCATTGAATGTGAGTATTTGTCTTGCCTTATTAAGATAGAATTTATTTTATTCCCAGTGAATATAAGTGTCAGCTTGTTTGCCTTACCAGTATTTTGATAAAGAATGGGGCTTAATTTGTTCATTTTTAGGCTTAGTTCTTTTGTATTTGTAGTAGTACATGATAAGTAAGGTATTGGCACCACTGTTGTATTTTATTTTACCCCTTTGCAGCAACATCTTTAAAAAGTGATTTTTTTTAATCTTCCTTTTATAATCTGCTGGTAATTCACCCTCATTCTCTCTTCTGTCCACGCCAGTCAGACCTTTGCCCCCATCATTCCATCAAAATAGGTCTAGTCAAGATCACCAGTGACCGCCATGTGTTAAATCCCATGATCTGGTACTCTTACAAGAGTTCTGTCGGCTTATTTCATTTATCAACATTGAACACACTGGAACACTCTCCTCCTTTATGTACTTTCTCCACCCAGCATAGAAGGTTATTAGATTCTAAAATTTATAAGCAATCCCTGGGTTGTGAGGCTGTGGATCATTTTATTTTTGTTCTCCTGTAAGTTCTGTAACGAAATGTATCATTAGCAAAAGTTAAGGTTCTTTCTTAATGTGTATTGAAGTGTAATAAACATAGTGTAAAGCATACATGTCTGGAATGTACAACTTGAATTTTCAAAACCTCAACACCCATGTAGACTCAGGTCAAGCAGGGAGTGTTTTAGCACCAGGGACCCCTTTCAGTTCATCATACTCTCCCCACCAGTGGTAACCATGATCCTCACTAAGGGAGTTTTCAAAGACAGAATTTTGTTACTCACATTTGGGGTACAATAAGATTTGTTTGCTGATAATAGCTTTCAAATCTTTACTTTATTCATAACACCATTTTTTTCTTAATTGTACATTGTAGATAAGCAACAATATAAAGTGGAATTATTATTCTTTTTTCCAGAATAAAGAACTAATAACAAGTAACAGAAATGTTTCACACCACGACAGATCAATGGTAAGGCATTTTATCTCTTTAAAATATACAAATTATAGTAAAACTGAAACATCTGCTAACAGAGATACTTGTAGAGTGATATAAAGTAGAACTTAGACATTTAGGGGAAGAAAAACATTTAAAACAATGTATTTCTTATATCTGAATGTTGTATATACTTGTTTCTGTCCTTAAAAATCTCTTTAAATTTTATTTTAAGATTTAACTTCTACCCAGCATTTCTTTTTTCTTGTTTTTTTGTTTGTTTGTTTGTTGTTTTTGTTTTTTTTAACTGATAAAATATTGGTTAGGTCAATACCTAAATACAATACCTAAAACATTAAGGGAATATGTTCATGTGTATCACCACATGACACCACCACCAAAATACCCTTAACCCTTTACCATAGACCATTCTCCCCTTAGTTCCCTCCCTCACCCTGCCCCTCTAGTAACCTCAGTTCTGCAGTTAGATTTCTAGGGCTTGTTTTGGTTTGGTTTTGTCAGTTCCTTTGTTTTGTTTTGTTTCTGTGTGTTCCACACATGAGTAAAGTCATCTGGTATTTGTATTTCTCCTTCTGGTTTATTTCACGTAGCATAATCCCCTCCAGTTCCATCCATGTTGTCACAATGGCTGTAGGGTTTTTTTAAATAGCAGAAGAGTATTCTAATGTGTATATATACAACTTCTTAATCCACTCACTGTTGTTGGGCACTTAGGTTTTTCCCTAACTTGGCTGTTGTTAATGGTGCTGCAGTCAACATGGAAGTGCATATATCCTTTCAAATTAGTGTTTTGCATTCTTTGGATAAATGCCAACGAGTGTGATTGCTAAATCATTGTGTATATCTTTAATATTTTGAGAAAGCCCCATACTGTTTTTTCATAGGGACTGGGCCACTCTACATTCCCACCAACAGTGTGTGGGGGTTCCTTTTTCTCCACAACCTCGCTAACATTTGTTGTTCCTATTTTTTTTGTTGTTGTTTGTTTTTGCCATTTTCACAGCTGTGAGGTGGTATTACAAATTGTTGATTTGCAATTACCTGATCATAAGTGATATTGGACCTTTTTTTTCTTTTTTTTTATTTTAACATTTATCATTTTTTACATTTTTGTAGACCATATTTTCTTCCCCCAACCCCTCTTTTTTTTTTTTTAAGATTTATTTATTTATTCATACAAGAACCGGGGTACTGGCCAGATGCACGGGAGGGTGAGAGGCTTCACCAGAGACAGAGCAGGAAACAGAACAGGCAGACTGACGAAATACACTGCTGAGGGGAGCAGCGGGTGAGACAGGAGAGGTCTGCCGCACCATATGGGACCCTCACTGGCTGGCCGGGATTGAACTGGCGCTGCAGAGGCTGCGGACAGCTTCACAGCGTTGCGCTCAACCGCCTGCGCCACCAGGGGAGGCCCGATGTTAGACTTTTTTTTCATGTACTTGTTGACCATCTGTATGTCTTTGGAGAAGTATCTTATTTCATTCCTCTGCCCATTTTTTGATTGGGTGTTTGTTCTCTGTTTGTAGAGTTGTATGAGCTCTGTGTAGACCTTAGCTATTAGTTCCTTGTCACCTATTTTATGTGCAGATATTTTCTGCTGTTCAGTAAAAGGACTTTTTGTTTTAATAGTAGTTTCTTCTGCTGCACAGAAGCCTTTTAGTTTAAACCTTCTTTTTCTTTAAAAACTAAAATTCTACTTCCAGATATCCAAGACAGCACGTGGTGATTTGGGCAGCATGATCATCATTAAGGATTTAAAGAAGTAGATGGAAACCATGGTGTAGCACAGGTTGGGGGGAAGGAATGTAGTATTTGAGGGAATTACTAATAGTCAGAAGACTAACAAGTTGAGAGGGTTGGAGGAATGGTGTGTAGGAACAGAGAATAGGTTTAGGAGAGAGCTTAATGTTTGCTTTCATATTGCTGGTTTTCTCAGCCAATCTTAACTTGTAGTCTGAGAATGCAAAGTCATTTACTCTGCAGTGGCTAGGACAAACTTTTTGCTGTGTACAGGCTGGGGAAGGAGTGGGAAATGAAAGAGAAGGGGAGGAAATAGTAAGGAGGAATGTGAAAAGTTTGGTCCAGGTATGTGGAGCATTAGAAGGTTCTTAGATATTACAGTAGGCAGTTTTTCCTCACTGGACTGCTAGTGACATAGTACCTTAGAAATTTAAATAATTTAGCTATCATTTCTAACAATATTATGACTTCCTCACCCAGTTCAATTTAAAACCACACACACTTTTAAAAAGTGAATGCTTAGTGATACTAGGATATAATATGGGAGGAATCGATTTTTTTTTAATTGAAGGGTTATATTAAAACAGAATAGTTCTGCTAAGGGGAAACCGGTAGGAATATAGAATGGAGAAGACTTTTCCTTCTTTATCACTTTAGGTGTGGGAAGATAGTGGTTTAAAAAAATGGGGGAAATTCTTCTAATGTCCTTCCACTGACTACCATTTTTTTTTATTGTTTTATTTTTCAGTGTTTTTATGAAAGGGCCCGGTTTAATTACTAAAAATTGTTTTATTATGAGGAACCAATGTTTATTTCTTATATAGCAATTTAAAAAAATAACTTAAAGATTATTTTTTCCCTGTTTCAGGATATTGTAGCCAGAACACAGAGAGATGGGTTTCATATCTTTATTGTTTCCATTAAAACGGAAAAAACAGATGCACAGTGGAATTTGAATGGTATAATAAAATTACATGCATGTTTATTGTTTGCTTTCACTGTATTCTATATTTTTGTCATTGACACAGATCTATTTTCTGTTAAAGCACAATGCTTAAAAGTGAATTTCTGTTAATCACAAAAATGAATAATCTGTTTATTTGAATAATAATTTGTTTATATGAATAATCTGACTTATGTTTATCTCAACTCTATTTTTTTTAAGTGGGTTGGAAATTTAAAATTAAGATAAATTAAAATTTTTATTATTTTCTTATTAATTTTTTTAAAGATTTGTTTATTTTAAAGATTTATCCATTTACGCACACAAGAGCTGGGGCATGGGCCAGAGATGCGGGGAGTGAGAGGATTCACCAGAGACAGAGCGGGGAACAGAACAGGCAGACCAACTGAAATACACTGCTGAGGGGAGCAGCGGAAGAGACAGGAGAGGTCTGCTGCACCATGTCGGCTGCTCCCTGGCCAGCCGGGGATCGAATTCGTGCTGCAGAGGCTGTGGATTGCCTCATAGTGCGGTGCTCAACCCCTTGCGCCACCAGGGAGGGCCAAGATTTATTTATTTTTATACAAGAACTGGGGTACAGGTCAGAGGCACGGGAGGGTGAGAGGATTCACCAGAGACAGAGTGGGGAGCAGAACAGGCAGACAAACTGAAGGGACCACTGAGGGGAGCAGCAGGAGAGACAGGAGAGGTCTACTGCACCATGTGAGAATCTCCCTGGCCAGCTGGGAATCGAACACGCACTGTAGAGGCTGCAGACAGCGTCACAGCGCTGCGCTCAACCCACTGTGTCACCTGGGAGACCAAATTAAAAATTTTAAACTTTATAGTGAGATATAAAATTCTCCTTCCTTCCAGATTAAAAAAAGCATATTTTAACATGTAGAGATGGGTAGGCAACACCTCAATTACATTTGAAGTAGATATTAAATAAATAAATAAATTCTAACTTTAGAAGATCAAAAAGAAAAAATAGCCATCATTAGGGGTTTAAAATTTTGGCTCTTTGAAAAAAAAATTTGAAAGGTCTGTAGCCTAGGAGTAGAAGTATGTCTGTTAACTGTGTGATTTGTAAGGACTTGCTTCTCCCCTGACCTCATGGTAGACCCTCTGTGCCTTGTTTAGCTCTACTTCACACTGCCCAGTCATGAGTAGGCTCATACTAAGCAATTTTCACAGGAATGACTGCTTTCATATATCTTAGAATTACTTTGACTGCCATTTCCAGTGGGGTATCTGCTGGGCTGACGGTAGGCAAAAAACATGTGAGTGTCCTCGAGATTTGCAAAGTGCTCTGGCTCATCCTGTAGGAACAAGAGATAAGATAGGCTTTACCTCTGAGTGGCACTCAGTCTAGTGGGGAGGCAGAAAGCAGGGGTGAGACAGGGGAAGCTAGTGGAGGTGGTTGTTCTGGAAAAGTGTAAAAAGTAGGACTTCCTTTTTGAAGATGACATAATGGCCTAGACCATGCCAGAGAGAGGGAGCAGGCACCTTGATGTCGTTCTGCTACCTGGCCTGTGCCCCTTTCTTCCTCAGTGTCCTTTTCTTCGGACACCAGCAGACAGATTAAATCCCCTGTTAGAAACTGAAGCAGTTGCCGAGTTCTGCAAGTATTTCCTTATATTTAGCATTGTTACTGCTGCCTTGGACAACATCCCAAACTATATGCTTGAAATCAGTAATTTAGCTCAAGTTGCATTAGGGAAGACAGTTCTCAGTGAGGGGCCAAACTAAAACCAATACTAGGGCCTCCCTGGTGGCGCAGCGGTTGAGCGCTGGGTTGCGAAGCTGCCCGCAGCCTCTGCAGCGCTGGTTCCATCCCCGGCTGCTTCCCGGCCATCAGAGGAGGGTCCCACATGGCGCGCAGACCTCTCCTGCCGCCTGCTGCTCCCCTCAGCAGTGTACTTCGTCAGTCTGCCTGCTCTACTCTCTGCTCTGACTCTGGTGAATTCTCTCACCTTCCCATGCTTCTGACTGTACCCAATGCTTGTATAAAATAAATAAATAAATCTTTAAAAAAAAAAAAGAGTTTAAATGTTAAAAAAATAAATAAAACCAATACTACTGTGCAGTCTGCAAAAGGTCAGTTTTGGTCCAGCATTTTATAAGCAAAGGTATCTTTAATAAGATTACATAATCAAGCAACTAGTAACTTATTATCCAATGCTTTATGTGTGCTCTGTAAAAATTTAGCATATCTTTGTTTGGTTTCTACTTATGGAAACTGATGGGAATGAACTTATATTCAAAAACTTAAGAAAAGATTGTTAATTTTACTTTTTCATTTTTTTTACCCCACCCTAACCGTCACCAGTTTCTCTTTCAATGGTGGGGCCTCATGGATATATCTCTGCATCAGATTGGCCTTTAATGATTGTGAGTATTTCTCATTTTTCCTTTTTTTAAAAAATGAATTTTGTATCTTAAGTGGAAAATCAGTGGCTCAGAGGTAGTAAGCCCTTAGTACCTTATGCTTTGACTTAACCTCTATTTCTGACTCCAGAATGACTGGAAAATTAAAAAAAATAGATACTTGAATGTAGAAATGCCCATTTTCAAATGATCAGGAAAGGATTAACTGAAATTCTTTCTCTTCCTACAGTTTTACATGGTGATGTGTATCGTTTATATTTTATATGGTGTACTCTGGCTAACATGGTCTGCCTGTTATTGGAAAGATATATTAAGAATCCAGTTCTGGATTGCAGCTGTTATTTTCCTGGGAATGCTTGAAAAAGCCGTTTTTTATAGTGAATACCAAAATATCAACAGCACTGGACTATCAAGTAAGTTGTGACCATCTCCGTAAATATAGTATAATGCAGGAGTCTGCTGGCATCCATGAGTAGCACTGTGGGGGCCCCTTTCCTCAGTGGTTTGTTATCAGCCATAATATAGGTGAATGGAGGGAAGCCAAGAAGAGAATGTTATAGTTGAACTCTGATCTAGGTTAGCATGTGTGTTATCTTCATTTTCAGTTTTCCTCGCTGACTTCCCCTCACTTTCTTCCTGAGAAAAGAAAATTCCCATTCTCTAAGGTTCATCTACCAAGTATTAAATGAAAATAACATGAAGTTCTGAACAGGGAATTTTAATCCTTTCACCATTTCTGTTTCTCACCCCCGCCTCCCACATCATTCTCTTTCTTCTCCTTTCCCCTGCAAAAAAAGAAAATTTGGCCACAGAGAATAAAATCTGTGGTGCCTGGATGAATGGTTCCTTCAGCCTTTTTGCATTCTCTCCACTTTGTTGCTCTTACAAAGAACTTCCTGTGGGGCCTCCTTGGTGACACAAGGGGTTAAGTCTCAGCACTGTGAAGCTATCCACAGCTACTATAGCACAAGTTTGATCCCCCACCAGGGAGCTACCCACGTGGTGCAGCAGACTTCTCCTCTCTCACCCGCTGCTCCCTTCAGCAGTATATTTCGGTCATCTGCCTGTTCTGCTCCCCACTCTGTCTCTGGTGAATACTCTCAACCCCCCGCACCTCTGGCCTAGACCCCAGCTCTTGTTTACATAAATAAATTAAATAAATCTTAAAAAAAAAAAAAAAAACAACTTCCTGTGTCCATTGAAGGCACCATCACAGTTTTCTCAGTGGGATGTGTGAAGCAGGGCAGACATATGTGTGTACCAGACTTCCAGAAGGTAGATTTAGAAAAGGCCAGTGAAGTAAAGGTACAGATGATTCTATCACTGAACCTTTGGAAAGTGATAGCTCAAGACAATTGAAAGTACCCAGGATGGTGCTTCTAAGCAGCCAGTTACAATTGGCTTTGGTACAGATTTTCAGAGGGCTTGGTTGTGTCTGCTATTTTTAAATATTCCAGGATGAAGAACGTGAGTTGAAATATAGATGAAGCAAATTTGGCAGAATGTTGATAATTTTTGAAGCTGAATGGTGGGTAAATGGGAGTACATATACTGCTTTCTCTGTGTCCCAGAACAGTTTGTATTTTCCCCAAAATAAAAAGTTTCAAAGGACATATACAAAAGAATAAAGGACAGAACCCCAGAAAGGCATGTTAGAAGTGTTATCACTCTTACGGAGTTCAAGCAGTGTGGGCCCGCCTGCTCTAACACACTTGAGGAAGGAGAGAGCTGCGCCAGGACTAGGAGGTCGTGCTCTTGAACATCAGAGAAGGCAGTTCCTCTCCTTGCCTGCTAGGGGTGATGCTCCTATCTGGAGAGAGTAAAGAGTGGTGTGAACTTAGGTGAGGGGCAACAAAAACCTGAGATCCGGGAAGAGGTGAGAAACTATTTGCCATCCTCAGACTTCCACCCCTCTGAGATGACACCAAAGGGCTTGGAAAAGAAGCCCCAAGACTGCTGTCAGTGTCTTTGAGGAGTCCTGTGTGAAAGAAGAGGTACAAGAATCCTGGACATGTGTTGATGTTGTTTATAATTTTCCTGAGTGGGAATTGTGTGACCTAGGCTGTCTTTCTTAGCATTGATTCCGGAAGTGTAGACATTAGGAAACTCTTTAAGGGCTGAGAAGCAGGGAATGTTAGAACGCAGCCTGGTGCCTTAGAAGTAGTTTGTGTCAGATAGACTTCTTTCTTTTGTGCTTCCAGATTGGTGGCTAGGAAAATGTAGCCCTTCATATTTCTTCAAGACTTCTTCAAGTTACTTGACAAGGTCTTTTGTGATTGCATATGAAGAAAATAGAGAAAGGTGGGCTGAAATCAGTGTGTTCACAACTGGTTTCCAAATATCTTTCTACTTCTCTTCATCTTCACTGCCAGCATGCTTATCAGCTCTTGGCTGGATTTCTAGAATAGTCTCCTAAGCATTTTCCTCACCTGTAGTCTAATTCCTTTTTAAGCTATTAAGTAGCGCAATCTTGGCTTTATAAAAAATTGCCCAGGGCCTCCCCTGGTGGTGCAGGCGGTTGAGCGTAGTGCTGTGAAGCTGTCCGTAGCCTCTGCAGTGCTGGTTTGATCCCGGCTGGCCAGCCGGCGAGGGTCCCACATGGCTCGGCAGACCTCTCCTGTCGCACCTGCTGCTCCCCTCAGCAGTGTATTTCATCAGTCTGCCTGTTCTGTTCCCTGCTCTGTCTCTGGTAAATCCTCTTGCCCTCCTGCGAATCTGGCCTATACCCCGGTTTTTGTATAAATAAATAAATAAATCTTTAAAAAATAAAAATAAAAAATTGCCCATTTTGTTCCAAGGGTCAGCAAACTTTCTCTGCATAAGCCACATAGTAATTATTTTTTGACTGTGAGGGCCATATGGACTCCGTTGCAGCTACTCTGCCATTGTAGCTTGAAAGCAGCCACCAGCAATAAATGGGCATGGCTGTGAGCCAGTGCAGCTATATTTACAAAAACAGATGTAGAGACTAGTATGGCTGATGACCTAGTTTACCAATTCCTCTTATATTCCCTGTTTTCTCTCATTGACTTCCTGCTGCCCTTAGCAGTTCAGACCCACAACATGGCCTTAAAGCTCTGTGTGACTGGTTCCTGCCTTTGTCTTTCTTTTCTCATTACACGACCTGCTACAGACATAGTGAGCATTCACTTATGGCATATTTGCCCTTCTTCTTTCCCCTTTCCTGCCCTCACATACGCCATTTCCTTTGCTTTCCCCTATCCCTTCTCCCAGAAGTTAACAAATACTGATTTTGATATCACGTCCTCTGAGAAGTTTTTCTGGACTCAATCGCACCTCCTTAAAGTGAACATTAGGTTGACTTTCTTCATAGTTCTGGGAGATGGTGCTGTGTTACCTCTAGCACTTACCTCCTGAGTTCTGTCTGCTTAGCCAGAGTACAAATTAGGGTAGGGGACGTGGTGTGTCTTTTTCTAGTTTAGCCACAAAGTAGGAGCAATAAATGAATAAATACTGAAAGCTTCCTGGAGAAAAGAAAGCTAGAAGACATTGTGGTTTTCAAATATTTACTGGACAAGAAGGAGGACATAGATTTTTGTAGCCTCAAGGGAATTAACAAAAACAGAGGGAAGCTCAGCGAGACAGATTTCAGGTTGATATGAGAAAGCGTGCCCATTAGAGATGATCAAATAAGGAGTGAGTTCTTCAGCAGGAAATGAATTCCCCTATACTGAAGTTTTTAAATAGCATTTGGATTAGATGACTTTTAAATCAAGTCTCGCTAATTCGTTTGAGGTCAGAATATAGTTGTACATTACATATTTAGAATCTTGGTGGCAGGCCTCCAGATGTACACAGAGTGAATGAGTTATTCTCTTTTTCCTCCCCAGCTCAAGGTTTATTGATATTTGCAGAGTTGATATCAGCGATTAAGAGGACATTGGCTCGCCTCCTTGTGATTATTGTGAGCTTGGGTTATGGCATCGTGAAGTAAGTATTGGTGTGTTGAAAAGACAGTATACAGTCTTGTGATTCCATTCATCTACATTATGGCTTCTGTAAAACTGGAAACTTCTCAATATTATAATGTAAATCCTATAGGGAAATAATTGCAAGAACATGTTTTCGAGGGATTTGCATGTACTGGCTCGTTTATACTGTCTGCAAATAAAGATCCTGAATTTGAGTTCCAGTAACTCTATATAGTTAGATGAATAAATAACCAACCTTAAGAAGGGAAATTTTTAAATATTTCTTAAAGTTCAAACCAATTTCTGTTTCCTAGAAATAGTTACACTTCTGTGATTGTATTTGAGCATTGTGAGAGAAAGAGAAATAAATACCAAGACAGCAAAATTTCTGACTGACACCTGGCTATCCCCTGGGAAGCCTGCTGCTTCCTGACCATCTCAGACAGATCTTTTCTCTCTCATACCTGTGAGTCACTGCTGTAAATATGGAAGAGCTCATCTTCTTTATCCTCATTGCCTTTTTCAGACCATCATTCTTCCCTCCTCCGTAAGACACTCTGGTTCCCAGAGCTCAGACCTTCAGACTGGATCATCTGCGACACCTAACTGTGGTCCACTCTGAGCACTTGCTTCACTGTCCTCAACACTTCATCTATCAGAATTCCCTGTGGATGATCCTTTAAGTAACCTGATCTCACCCCATCTTCTCTTGCCCTTCACCACATCTCAGCTGTTGAGTCCCATGACTATTTTCTAGTTGTTATTATTACATAATTGTTCCCTCTTCATAATCGTAACTTTAAGCAACCTATTTTTTAATTGTCACCTCTCTGTTTCCTGTTTACTTTCTCCACTCTCAGTTTCAGTCGCTCTGACTCTACTATGGCTTCTGGCCCTTTGATCCTACCAATAGGTCAGCAGGGAACTTACATTCTTGAATACACCTGAAACCCCCTGCCTGACTCTGTGTCAACTTCACTTGGTAAGACCAGCTTTCTATCTGTCAGGCTCACCTGGAGCAGCAGGAGCTGCCTGAGAAGAACACCCAACCACCCTCCTCAGGCTGACTTTTGCTTCATGACCCTGAACTTTCAATGCAGCCCTAGTCGTGCTGGCAGTTCTAGATCCCCTTGACAATTTATCTTCTCATTCTCCCTCTTTGCACAAGACAATTGTACCCCTTCTCTTTCCTCAAACCTTTGACTCGCTACCCATACCCATTTCCACTGATCTTGGTTCATTTCTCACTAAGGAAATAGCCATCAGACGGGAATTCCGATGTGATCCTACCATCAAATCTGACCCTACATAGTGTTTTCCCCTTATCTGACCCTACACAGTGTTTTTCCTCTTGAAAGGCAGGGGCCATCCCTGCTCATGGTTAAGTCCTGCTCTGCCCTGTGCTCTAATCTCATCTGTCAAAGAAACTGGTCAGATACTCAGTCCTCTTTTCTCCCATATCATCAGTCTTCCTCTCTGGTGGGTCACTACCAACAGCACGCTGTCATTGCCATCACCTGCAGAAGCAAAACCCTCCCTCGATCCCATATGACCTTTTCTTCTACTTCTACTCCATTTCTCTTCATTCCTGTGCAGCGTAATTTTTCAAGTGAGCTGTCTGTACTTGCCACTTAAACTTTCCCTCATTTTCTTTTGAACATACCCTAGTAAGGTTTTGTCCCATCCTTCTGTTGAGACTGTCCTTATCAAGGTCACCTCTCCTGGCCAAATCAAGTGGCTACTCAGTCCTTACACAGGTACCTGGTCAGCAGCTTCATTGGTTGAGTGCTGGTTGCACCATCTGTCTCTGCTGCCAGCCTTCCTCATCTTCTTGAGTTATGGTACTAGAGTGTCCCAGACTCAGGCCCCTCACCTTCCCCCTAGTGACTCGCACCCCTGGGCACGCTTAGCCAGTTCTGTGCTTCTAACATCAGAATGCTTCCAGAATTACTCAGTCCCATCCCCTCCCGAGCTACCCCCCTGGTCCAAGCCACCACCCTCTGCCTAGGCCTCTTCAGTTGGCTCCTGACTGGTTTTCCAGCTTCTGCCCTGGTCTCCTATCATTCTTTTCAAATACAGCAATGGCCAAGATGATGCTTTAAAAATGTAACTCAGATCTCGTTACTTTCTTATTCATTCAGTAAAACCCAGACTCCCTTCTGTGGCTTTCTCAATGGCTGACTTCATCATCTGCCACGCTCCCTTTGCAACTGGCTTTCTTGCTGCTGTTGTTCTATAAATACAAACACTTCTTCACAGTGCAGTAAAGGCCTCTGCCTGTAACTGTGTTCTCCCAGATCCCACACATAGTTCACTTCCTCACTTCTGCTCCACTGTCCTCTCCCAGGGAAGATTGCGCTGTAGGATTCCTCACAGAGTACGCACCCTCCATCGTGCTGACCCCTCATTCTTTTTTACAAGACCACTTGATGTACATCTTAGTCTTTGCTCTCTCTCCCCCTCACTTGAGTGGAGTAGGATCTTTGCCTGTTGTGTGTCCTACTGTACCTGGAGGCCCTGGTGTGGTCCATGGCACAACTCAGACACTCAGTAAATATGCACTGTGTGCAATCGTGTGTGCTTGTGAGCTCAGGATTGGGGGGGTAGAGAGATTCTAGCCAGGAAACCTTCTCATTATACTTTTATTGAGGTTCTTTCTCAAATTATGGGGCCGTGGGAGGCGGGTGGCCCAAGAGGAGCTTAGTACAGTATTAAGAACACAAAATTCTCTTGCAGAATCTTGTACCTCTCAGTTCTTGTCAACATCAGGTGCCTATGGTTGTTGCAAAAAGAATAGAAGATTGAGTTCACTGTCAACTTGTTATAGTCAGCTCAAAGTGAGAGGTGTAACAGTTGCTACTGGAGTTAGCTGGCCAGATGAATCAGACCTTAGATTAAATAAATTATATAAGTAGTCTTAAGTATGAGCTATGGATATTAGTTTAATTTTTATTGAGATTTTATTTTTAAATGATTATCATGAGTATTTTTTCAAAACCAGTTTTTTCTTTTAACTGTTCTGATGGTTTTTAAGTTAAAACATGTACGGTGAATTCTAATTTATAAATGTCATGAGATTTCTATTTTCAAATTATTAATAGCAAAAAATATCTTTGTATTTTCCCATCTCATTTATATTTTTAAGGAATAAAAAATGTTATTTTGATTCTTTTTAATTTTCAATGAAAACTCAGGTCTGTTAGCACTCTTATTTTGGGTATTGAGAGACAGAAGGTAATTGAATTTATCTTCTTAATATCCTGCACTTTCTCTACGCAAGTCAAAATCAGTGGATTATCTCTAACAAAACATAACTCAGAATGTTTTTAAATTAATGTTTAGTGAAAGAGTTAAATTATTACTTCTATTAAGACACTTAGAGGTTGGCACGTAACTTCTTAGGTTTTATCAATCTACTCTTTCATTTAGTAGAAATAGCACCTGGGTTATGTTTATTATATTACTTGAATTTCAGTGGCAGAATCCTCTAGCATCTGTGTGACCTCAAAATACTGCTGTGTGGGCATCTGTACAGCTTACTGTCCTAGAGAAGGAGACTGGTTTTTTTTTTTTTTTCTTATGTTTTTTTCTGAGCCTATCTGTGCCTTGTTCCCAGAGAAAACGCTGTGTGCTAAAACAGTCCCTCAGAGGCAGCAGCAGGCTGATTTGCTGAGATCGTGACTACTCTGGTGTGGGAAAATGGCACCAGTGACTAAATGCGGATGAATCTTACTTACCAGTTTTTGCTTTCGTTTCTTCTGTTTCTTCTTCCTCACTCCAGGCCTCGGTTGGGAACAGTCATGCACCGGGTGATTGGTCTGGGGCTGCTCTACTTCATCTTCGCGGCTATCGAAGGCGTGATGAGAGTCATTGGGGTAAAGACTGCATCATTCTTTTCGTAGGGGTGGTGAAATGTGATTTTACTCGAGATCTCCTGAGATGAATTTTTAAAGATAAGAAATTTATGAGAAAGGTCAAATTTGAGCTATTTATTCCTATAGGACAGTTCCCTTTTTAAAAATACTTCTCAAAAGTAAAAGCCTGGACAGAGCCCTTCTTAAAACATTATTTGATTATGAAGACACCACTTGATATCATCCCAGGAGAATGTTCATAGTTATTCTTTATAAGAACATTTGTGTTTGTCCTACCCTCTGAACATGTTCATTTCTCCCTTAGCCCTTGTTTTAAACACGTGTAAGTGAACAGGGAGTTAATTGTACCCTTCTCATACATACAAACATTAGATGGCATCACTTCTGTAAGTCTCATCTGATTATAGGTTTGCTCTAGCGCTTGTGGAATCAGTATTTTTAGCAACTGAGCAGGCCCCCCTCTTGGAAGACCAGGCGGAGGTAATTTTCAAGGGAAAAATGACCTGACATTGTGGGCCTCAGTGCTTTACTCTCTAGAGAACTGTCAAAATATGTATTTATGTCTGTGAAGACCCTTAGTATCTCTAGCTCTTGGTTTATCTTAATAATGTGATTGATGGCTAGTGATTAAAAAGCTTATATTTTACTTGATTCAGATAACCTTGTAATTTTTACCCAAAATGCCTTTTAGCTTAGATCTATAAATCAAATTACTGTGCATGGAGAGAATAATTTGTTTATTGCTAGAAAAGGTCATTTCACAAACTATTTTCATCTGAACCTTAAAGCAGGGTACTGGTCCAATCCTCATTCTTCTTCCTGTTATCTTTGATACACCTATGTTCAGTTAGACATACCTATTCTCTATATCTTTAACTCTTTGAAAGGTACATTTACTTTTACCTTTACATGATAATAAAAAACTTTACATTATATGTAAGTTGATATTTCACAGGAAACTAATCTTTGCTAGAAAGAAAAGAAGATAAATATCCCACATATAGATATAGCATGTACATTCTTTTTATTTAAAACTTTATAGTCAGTATCTTAGATAAAACTGGCTTAAATATGATTTTCTGTCAACTCTTAATTAGAATGTCTAATCTACAATTTGTTTATATCTTTCCACACAGTTCTTACTCACTTGTGTGTATATTCATCCTTTCACATGCGATGGGAAAGTTCAGGAGTCCATTTCATTAGTAGCCTGGGCTGTGGTGTGGAGTACACAAGGCAGGGATTGAAATGGTTGACCAAAGTGCCATGCCATTATACAATTTTACATTATACTGAACAACTTGATGACAAATTAAGATTTGTTACTGCCCAAACAAATCATTTCCAGTGTCTGAACACAATTCTATTAATAAATAAAGTCTTAGATGTGACTTCTATAAAATGATGACATGAGCTAGATTGTTTTTCTTAATCAGATTATAATTCCTATAATGTAGTGAAACTTTGACATTCAGGATTTTTTTCCTATTTTTATCTTTCAGGGTTCTAACCACTTAGCTGTTGTTTTTGGTGACATTATTTTAGCAGTCATTGACTCCATTTTTGTATGGTTCATATCCTTTACTATGTCCTAAGATAATTTGTTGTATCATTACTCTTAATTTTCAATAATAATAGAAACATAATTATGCATTATTATTACCGCAATATAAGAACTTAGTTGAAGGTGAAAAGATAACAACTCCCCAAACAATATCTTTATTTTCTCTGTTAACAGCAACCTTAGTATGTGTAATATGTGCCCCATTCCTGAGGAGGCTGGAAGAAAAACAGTGCCCCCACATTTAAGAAATTTATGATTTGTAGTAGAGACACGTGCGTAATGAAGAACAGGGTAGCAATAGTAATTGCCAACTTGAGGGGAGTTATGCAAACAATGAAAGAAGTTAATTCTAGTATAAAAATCAGAAAACACTTCACAGAGATGTTGACATCTAAATTAAGACTAGGAGGACAGGGGCCTCCCTGGTGGCGTAGCGGGTTGAGCGCAGCGCTGTGAAGCTATCCGCAACCTCCGCTGCACCGGTTCAATTCCCGCCTGTCCCGGGGAGATTCCCACATGGTGTGGCAGACCTCTCCTGTCTCACCCGCTGCTCCCCTCAGCAGTATATTTCGGTCCTTCTGCCTGTTCTGCTCCCTGCTCTGTCTCTGGTGGATTCTCTCACCCTCCCGTACCTCTGGCCTGTACCCCAGTGCTTATATAAATAAATAAATCTTTAAAAAAAAAAAAATAGGAGGACACAAAGGGACTTAAAGGAGGGACTTACAGGAAGAAAGGCATTATGGAAAAGGCATTCTGGGAAGAATTGAAGAAAACATAGTTGGAAGCATGAAGATATAGAAACAGTAGGGGAATGTCCCCAAATAGCTTGCCTGCAGGTGAATGTGTTGGGATAACCATGGAAAATCAGCCAGAAAGGAAAGAATGACATGTTTAACAGTTTAGAGTCCCTTTGGAAGGTAGAAAATAGTGAGGATTTGGAATTGTGCAGGTAATTAGCATGCTGAAATCTGTGGAAAAGAATTTAAGGATGACATGAAAAGATGACTGGGGATAGGAGTGTAGAGAAAAGAAGTCGAGTACGAAGTTATTTGCAGTGGAGGAGAGGTGCTGAGGCTTAGAAATAGAACAAGGGAAATGGAAAAAGGAGTTCAGATGCTAGACTTGTTAGAAATAAATGGGTGGCAAAAGAAAGAAAAGAGACTCCAGAGAAGTCTTGCACATCTCATTTGGATGGCCGGGGCAGTATTGCCATTCTCAAGACAGTGAACTTGGAGAAGGGACCTTTGTGGGTGAAGTTTGAGCTACCAGAACACCCTTCACTGGTGGTGAAGGTTGGAGGTTGTCTTTATGTGGAAAGAGGTTGCAGCCTTGGAAGCAACACAAAAAGAACATATAGACAGACCAGTGAGAGAAGAGAGGGCCCATGAGGGTACCTGGTGGGAAACGTGCCTGGGAGGAACACCACGGTGAATGGAGGTGGAATTACAGGATACAGGCATGGGTAGAGACTGCGAAAGCTTTGGTGCGGAGGGTGGTGAACAGTGACCAGTACTGCAGAGATACCGTCCCATGGCACACCTGGCTCTTTGGTCATTCCAGAGGTCACAGTGGGACAGCAGGAAAGCAAGTTAAGTGAGATGGTGAGATAGAAGTTTCAGAGGCTATGTTAACTGATCCTTGAGGATCCGCCTCACTGACGTGATGCATGCTCAGTCTGGGGAACTCCATTGTTTGTTTCTCCATGGCAGGCTCTGATATGCATTCATTGACATGGGAGGAATTCTAGAGAAACTACATCAGAGATACAGCGTTGTGCACATCTCATAGTATTTTTATCTATATCTTCTACATTTATGTTCTCTTTGAAACTCTTATAAAGGTTTTTTCCCCCACTGTCTTTGATACTTATCTTTTAACATTAAACATTCTTTTGTTTTCCTTGTATTTCCACTTTCTTGTCTTTGTTGTCATAGGAAGGGTCAGAGGCCTTAAATTTGCCTGTTTTTATAAGGAAACTCTCCCTTTCTGCAGGTGTGCTCTCAGCCTGGTCTGCCTATTCTTTACATTTCCTGTATGTTTCTGTTTTTTACTGAGGTAACATTGGTTACAACACTCTGTATGATTCAGAGATAGAGGATCACAACCTTCAGGTGTATGTTACCACACCGCACCCACCACCAAGGCACCAGTGATACTCCACCATAGTCCATTGGGCACCTGCCCACCCTCCCCAGCCTGCGGAACTCACTCCCTCTGGTAGCTTCTATTTTACTAGGGTCTGTTGTTGGTTTAGTTTATCTGCCCCTTTGTTTCTCTGTATTCCATATATAAGTGACACCATCCAGTACTTGTCTTTATCCTCCTGACTTATTTCTCTTAGCATAATCGCCCTCCAGTTCTACCCATGTTGTGACACATAGCATGAGTTCATCATTTTTTGTCTATAGCTGAATGGTAGTCCATGGTGTATATATACCACATCTTCTTAATCCACTCATCTGACTTTGGACACTTAGGTTGTTTCCACAATTTGTCTATTGTAAATAGTGCTGTGGATCAATATAGGGGTGCATATATCCCTTCAAATTAGTGTTTTTGCATTCTTTAAATAGATTGCTAGCGGTAAAATTGCTCTATATTATGGTGTTTTGTTTTTTTTTTTAATATTTTGAGAAATCTCTATAGTCTGTATTTTTGTTTAGCTTTCTTTGGGTTCTGGGGTCAGAAATGCCTTTGACAATCTAATGAAAACCATGGGACTCTCTTCACTGATTATAACACACGCTTCACACAATTATTTATTTTTTAATGATGTACCATTATTTTACATCCTTGTTAATTTTTTGACAGTACAGGATTACTCCCTCAGGTGTGGTCACTATAGCTGTCCCATCACCAAAGCACCCATAGTCCCCCACCATAATCCACTGTGCTTTCCTCCACCCGTTCAGCACCCCTCCCCATCTGCTGAACCACACTACATACCTTGTTGGGGATGATGTATGGACTAGCAGTGTAGACATAACTGATATGCACAGAATTGCCATGAAGATGAATCAAGCTGTTGGGCTCAGCATCACTGTCTCTAGATCTGAATGTCTTCTCTTCTGTCATTGTGCATTTAGAAATGAACTTAAGATATCTGTTCAATTTGAAGTTATCTTATTTCTAAAATTGTATATGCTGAGAGCCTTTAGCAGGAGGTATATTCTTCAGTCAGTCATTCCATTGCGCTATTGACTTTGCACATTTTACACATCTGTATTATCTTTTTCATGGTAATTTGCATATATGTGTTTCAAAGATAACTTGTTCTTAATCATTTACAAAGTAGTTCTTTGGGAAAAGCACTCAGTAATGCAACTTGATGGAAAGGTCCAGAGGAAAGTGGCTGTAAAGTTGCTAATTTCCTCTGAATTTGAGTGAGGGTAATTTATCTCTTTTATGGACAATATTGACTTTGGTCTATTCCAACATGTAATGAGCCAGTTTGGGGTATAGAGATAAGAAAAACTAGCCAAAAAATTTAGTTTTCTTAATTATTAATATTTTCAACAAAGGTGTTTTAGATAAAAGTCATAAAGAAATCTAGAAATTAAAATGATCTTGGTTGCCATTTCATGGTGAGAGAGAAAGAAAATTTAGTATCTCTGCTAGAACCTGAAGTTATGGTGTTTGCTTTTAGACTGCTGTTTGGGAATTTTCTTTACTGAAATAAACAGTGTGCTGCTCTGTACAAAAAGGAAATGGTTTCCTAAATGACTACAAATTATAAGCAAAAGAAACAGGTATGCATACATACAGAACTGAGTGCTCAGTTTAGTGACCTTGCTTCCTTTGATTTTGATGACCTTAATATAGCTAATGATCTTGTAAGAATCTAATTCTAAAGTAGTAGAAAAAAATAGCCCCCAAAATTCAAAAGGTGTACAGCCTTTATTTCCTCTTCTTTTCTGCTTGTTTGTTTTACATTTTGCTGTTTTGCTACAGGCAAATGATTCTGATCTTGTGCTTCTGGCCAGCCTCCCTCTCTCTCTCCTTGACTCTGGCTTGTGCTGGTGGATATCCTTTTCTGCCACAGCAGTGCATTCACGTTGATTCTCACTTAGGGTGATGGGGCCTGCTTGCTTTCATTACTACTTTCCTTTAATGGGAGAAACGATTTAATTATCTTTAACTAAATTTAACAGCATCTTGGTAAGTGGAAGCTTAAGTAGTTTCGAATTTGCTTTTCAGCCTTTATTTGACTTTTCAGAAACACTTGAATTATTAAATGAAACCAGATTTTTAATAGATAATTGATATTAGTCCAAAATGTTTTAAAAGTATTTGACTTGATAATGTTTAATGAATAAAGCATATTTGCATTTTTATAAATTGTGACAGTAGACTTAAATTGGTTGAACTTATTTTAGAAATTGATCTTCTTTTGCAACTTAGGGATCATTTAGAAAGCTTGAAAGGCAGTTTTGGGGGGTCTCCCTGTTGGCGCAGGCAGTTGAGCGCAGTGATGGGAAGGTGTCCACAGCCTCTGCAGTGCTGGTTCGATCCCCGCCAGCTGCAGAGCAACCACATGGCATGGCAGACCTCTTCTGTTGCACCCATGGTTCCCCTCAGCAGTGTATTTCAGTCAGTCTGCCTGTTCTGTTCCCCACTCTGTCTCTGGTGAATCCTCTCACCCTCCCGCACATCTGACCTCTACTTCGGTTCTTGAATAAATAAATTTTTTAAAAAAAAGAAAAGCAGTTTTGATAGTTTTCATATGAAAGTAAGCTTTTGATTAAAGAAGTACTTCAAAGTTAAATTAGGAGGTATAATCTCTCCCCAGGAAGAAGTAAGGGAAGAATTGACCCCGGGAGCAGGTTTGTGAGCCTTACAAAGCTACAGAAATAGGCCCGGCCTCTCAGCCATGACAGCCCTGAATGGGATCCGGAGACTTGTGCTTCAGCCTTTGTTTGCCATTAATTTGCAATAAGTCACTGAGTCCTTGAGTAAATACCACTGCCTGTTATCAGTGAAAAAAGAAACAATTTCAGAAACTCTGGATTATCTGTAGATACTTACAAGCCTATGAGTCTAGAAGATGGCAAGGCTGTATTCTGTAGGATCAAAAATTGTCCATAGCTCAGAGGTCACTGAACGTGACAGCTCAGATGTCACTTCTTCTGAGGGGCCTTCCTGAAGCCCAGAGAGGGTTTGCATCCAGTCCTCACTCCCCTGGGGAGTGTTTACTTATGATGTTGCGGAGTATGAGGATCTGCTTTCCTCATTGGAGGAAGGAGGAGGAAGCCTGATGGTCTTGTTTGCCTCCATGTCTCCACTGTCTGGCGCGCAGTAGATGTTCACGAAGCATATGTGGAAAGGAAGAATGAACATGAATAGATCCAAGCACTGTGACAAGTTGGAAGAGTAGTTTTATAGTGGTATAAGAGCCTACTTGACAGTGTTGAACTTTACTTGAACCCTGTGCTCCTGGAAAACAACTACGGTTAAGAAAAACCCAGCCCTTTTGTATTCCAGGAAAAGGCTTACTACAAAGAACCTGTTTCCCCTCAGGACACAGAGTAAGACTCCCAGATGCCCCCTTGTTTACCAATGACTAGGCTAGACACAGATCTGTTTACTGACTGATCTGGACAAAATACCAAACTGGACCAAACTGAGTATTCATATTCCCCCAAGTCCCTGAGCTTTGTCCACCCATAATCCTCCTTATTAGCCCCTCCTGGGAATCTGCACACCTCAAATAATGTCTTTCCCTGATAACTGTCCAGTCACGCCACTCACTTCCCCACACCTGCTTTCTAGTCTTGTTTACTCCTCTCTGCAAAAGTAAAACCTTGTTCTGCCTAGCCTTTGATCTTTAGATCTTTGCAGATCTTTTAGTCAAAACATTCTATCATAATAACCTTCCTCCTATTGCAATAATCTTTTGATTAAAGTCTCCCTCTACCCAAATGTTTCAGATATTTGTTTTTCAATTTATAAAATGAAATTGGTAGGTGACCTGACTTCTTAATTATAGTGTTTGGATGATAAAATGTAAATACACAGAAACAGAAAGCACAAGCCAAGTGGCACGTCAGAACATGTGAAGAGTGGCCAAAAGACAGGGTATTTAATTTATTTAGTTCAGATGATGATAAATTGTAAAGCAAAATCTGGGATAAAATTAGTACCATGATTGTATAATGTTGACTAAGATAATATTTTCTATGTATTTCACTTTTAATTATAGGAACTCTTTTAACAGTACCAATTTTGGAGATGTAGTAAGATTTTTATTTTTTATGTTAACTGTTATTACATAAAATGCTTTTCCTTAACTTCTTTTACATTTTTATAAGTTTGGCACAAACTATGAAGACTCTAAGGCTAAGAAAGAACACAGTGAAATTTTCTTTATACAGGCACTTTACAAATACTCTGATCTTTGCCGTACTGGGTAAGCTATTTAATTTTCTTATTAAATGGATTATTTTAGTATTGCATGTCCCTTCAAAGGTTGACTTTTTTGGTGTTTTTCAGCTTCTGTAATCTTTATGGTGTGGACAACCAAGACATTTAGAATTGCAAAATGTCAATCGGTAAATATAACCTTTCTATATTTTTTATGTAATTTCATTTTTAATTATACTTTCAAGTATAATTTTGAAGAATTTAGTTTGCGTTTGTAAATAGATAATTTTAGTGGAGATTTTCTCTTTACTTTCATTTCCTTTGCATAGGTTTAAAAAACTTTTGCCTTCTTTAAATGAATCTGATGCACTTCTTCGTAGATCTACTTTTCTCATTTTTTATCTGTTTTGGAAAAGAATTCTCTCCCTATATCATTTCATTTAAAACAACAGCAAATCTTTTTTTTCCTCTACACCATGAAACTGGGTTATTTTGTATGTAAATGGTTCCATGAGCCCTTAGTCTAACATATTTCCAGGATTATATACTCATCCTGAATCCTGGGAAGACACTCTCCAGGGGCTCTCTCATTAAAAGATACCTTTCCAAACCTGAGATAGAAAATGCCCTCTGCGGTGGGTTTCTTGATTTAGAGCTAATCTCTACTATATAAGCACTTACAAACAGCCCTCCGAAAATCCTGAACTTTTGCTGATGTAAGTATAACTCAATGAGAGAAGGGACTGAACCTTCTGGAATTCCTTTTTTTTCCTTCTCTAAGCTTGATATTTTTCACTTGAAGTTTTATATGTATGTTTTGGATTTTCATTATTGTTTCTTATGTCTTCCTGTTAACCCTCAAGTTCTTTGAAAGGAGATATTTAGAATGTCAAACAGCCTTTAGGGATGTTTTGGGCAAAATAAAATTGCCTCTCTTACTAAAAACAAAATAATCTATTGGGGAAAATATTGCATTAAGATTTTTGGATCAGGGCCTCCCCGGTGGCGCAGCGGTTGAGCGCTGGGTTGCGAAGCTGCCCGCAGCCTCTAGAGCACCGGTTCGATCCCCGGCTGCTCCCCGGCCACCTGAGGAGGGTCCCACATGGCGCGCAGACCTCTCCTGCCGCCCGCTGCTCCCCTCAGCAGTGTACTTCGGTCCTTCTGCCTGCTCTGCTCCCCGCTCTGGCTCTGGTGAATTCTCTCACCCTCCCGCGCTTCTGACTGTACCCAGTGCTTGTATGTATGTATGTATCAATCAATCAATAAATAAATCTTTAAAAAAAAAAAAAAAGATTTTTGGATCAGAGATTATAGTGTCATCAATGTGAAAAAAAAATTGTCAACTTAATTCTAATTCTCCTATTAACCTGCCTCATGACTACTTTAGTCTAGAAAATAGCAACCTCTGAAGCCTCTTTACCCCCTAATTTTCTTTGTGGCACTATATAATTTATGTTAGGATTTTATTCACCTGTTTGGTAATAAGGATGAAGTTAGCAATTAATGTTGATTTGGTAAACATAATATTTCTTAGTGTCTATGTTTCTTTTAAAAATTTGTACATATTTATTTGGAAAAACTTAATGATTGGAAAGATTTTATTAATACTTACCAATGTATACTATCTGAATGGAGATCTGTATATTTATTAGAAAATTAACTTTATGTTGAATTGTCCTTATTATAGGATTGGATGGAACACTGGGTTGATGAAGCATTTTGGAGCTTTCTTTTTTCGGTTATCCTTATTGTAATAATGTTTTTGTGGAGACCATCAGCAAATAATCAGAGGTACCTAGTAGGAAAATTCAAGTTTGGTAAACATTTGTCAGTTACCGGCTACAATATTAAATGGATTTATAGAAACTGGGGGGAACTAGTCCTTCCTTTTAAGGAGTACACAGAAAAACATAACAAAGTAAAATAAGAGATATATAATATAAACTAAGTCCTGGGGTGAGATGGAAGATGGTTGTGGAAGACTCCATGAAAAGGCAACATTTATGTTATGCCTTGAGGAAAAGAGCAGGACTGGGAAAGAATGTGCATTTTATGGAATAGTAGGAAAAGACTTTGTATACTTTGGAGATCATTGAGGCATGTGGTTTGCTTAATGTGACCTACATTGGAGGGAGATAAAGCTGGAAAGAAAGGGTGAGACCAGAATCCTAGAGATCCCAAAGTGAGGTTTAAAGAGTTGTGCTTTAGGGCCTCCCCGGTGGCGCAGCGGTTGAGCGCTGGGTTGCGAAGCTGCCCGCGGCCTCTGCAGTGCCGGTTTGACCCCCAGCTGCTCCCCGGCCACCGGAGGAGGGTCCCACATGGCGCACAGACCTCTCCTGCTGCCCGCTGCTCCCTTCAGCAGTGTACTTCGGTCCTTCTGCCTGCTCTGCTCCCCACTCTGGCTCTGGTGAATTCTCTCACCCTCCAGCACTTCTGACTGTACCCAGTGCATAGTGCATGTATAAACAAAACAAACAAACAAATAAATAAAAATGACTATAAAAAAATAATAATAATAAATAAAAGAGAAAGAAAAAACTTGAAAAAAAAAAAATAAAGAGTTGTGCTTTAGACTGTATGCCTGTTCCTCTCCCCCAAGGAAGGTACTATTAAGTTTCTTATATATCCTTATTGGAAAAGTGAAAAAAGTTTATACCATTGTGTGTGTTTCTATTATTTTAAAATTACTTAATAAATACATGCATACTTACATGTATGCATTTTTGTGCATCTACTTTTTCCTCCACATCATTTTATATAGATCTGCCAATTAGTTTTAACAGCTATAGGGCATTCAACATGGTTTATATAACAGCCTCTAATTATCAGACACTTTGTTTCTTGGCTTTTGCTGTTATCAGTAGTAGTGCTATTTGAATACTTGTTGAACCTAGCAAATGAGACTCAATCAATATGCTTTATTTTCACCAATCAGATTAGTGATTGGAAACTTTTCTTTCATTAAAGGATAAGATTAATAAGTAGTGGAGATAAATATGACATGGGGAAAAAAGTATAGCAGAAAATTCCCTTCCCTGAACATTACATATTTCAAAGTTGCTTTCTAGAAAGATTTTATCCATCTGTGTTTTTACCAGCAGGATTTGAGAGCTCTAGTATGTTTCTTCACAATAATCTTGCCTAATTTAATGATCCAATAATTAAAATTTTTATTGTTTTAATTTATGAGAAACTTTTAAAATGCAGATATTTTTGTGTGGAATGACTCTTAGAAATAAGCTGAAAACTAAACAGGTTTAAACATGCTAGTAAAATTAAAACTGTTCCTTGGTTTTCATATAGATATGCCTTCCTGCCCTTAATAGATGATTCTGATGATGAAGTTGAAGAATTCATGGTAACATCTGAAAATTTGAGTAAGTAATATGTTTTCTTTTTAAATGACCATTGTATAGTTTTAACGGGAATATTGTAGTTATAATGCAAGGCCATGCACATTTTTTCCCTGTTTTTTTTTTTTTCTTCTCCATTTCTCTTTTTTTTTTAATTTTGTAGTTTGATTTTTTTTTTTATAATAAATTTTATTTTTATATTCCCCATACAATTGCAACCCCCTTATTTTGACCCCAATCCCTCCCCTCCCGCCCCTACCCCCATGGAGTGTCTCTGGTTCATAGTTTTTTGTTGATTTTGATTTTCACTTTCTTATAGTTATTCATTTTCCTGGTCCCTTATTTAAGTTTTCTAGATTCCTGCTATGAGTGAGACCATCCGGTATTTTTCTTTTTCTTTCTGCCTTATTTCGCTGAGCATGATCCCTTCCAGCGCCATCCATGTTGCTGCAAATTGCATGTGTTTATCTTTTTGGAATGCTGAGTAATATTCCATGGTATATATGCACCACATCTTCTTGATCCAGTCATCTATTTTTGGGCATTTGGGTTGTTTCCAAAGCTTAGCTATTGTAAATAGTGCTGCTATAAACATAGGGGTGCAGGTGCTCTTTGGAATTGATGTTTCTGTGTCCTTTGGGTAAATACCTAGGAGTGGAATTGCTGGAGCCTATGGAAGCTCTATGTTTAGTAGGTCCAGAAATCTCCACACAGCTCTCCATAGTTGTTGGACCAGTTTGCACTCCCACCAACAGTGCAGAAGAGTTCCTTTTTCTTCACACCCTCGCCAACATTTGTTGTTGCTAGTTTTTTTAATATGAGCCATTCTCACTGGTATAAGATGGTATCTCATGGTAGTTTTGATTTGCATTTCCCTGATTACAAGTGATGTTGAACATTTTTTCATATGCCTGTTGGCCATTTGCATTTCCTCTTCAGAGGAAAACTTCTCTTCAGAGAAGTTTCTTTTTAGCTCTTCTGCCCATTTTTTGACTGGATTATTTTCTTTGTTGTTGTTGAGTCTCATCAGCTCTTTGCAGATTTTTGTGATCAGTCCTTTATCATTAGTGTTGGGTGCAAAAATGTTCTCCCAGTCGGAGGGGTTTCTCTGGTTTTGGTTATTGTCTCTTTTGCTGTGCAGAAGCTCTTTAATTTGATGTAGTCCCAGCTGTTTATCTTTGCCTTCACTATCACTGCTTTGGGTGATGTGTCTGTAAAGATGTCTTTGATGTGAATATCATGTAGTGTTTCGCCTGTATTTCCTTCTATTTATTTTATGGTTTCAGGTCTTATGTCTAGTTCTTTAATCCATTTTGGGTTGATTTTGTGTATGGTGTGAGGTAGTGGTCAAGCTTCATTCTTTTGCATTTAGCGACCCAGTTTTCCCAGCACCATTTATTGAACAAACTTTCTTTGCTCCAATGCATAGTCTTTGCTCCTTTGTCAAAGATTAGTTGACATAAATCTGTGGGTTTATTTCTGGATTTTCTATTTGATTCCATTGGTCTGTATGTCTGTTCTTGTTCTAGTACCATGCAGTTTTGATGATTATGGCTTTGTAGTATAGTTTGAAATATGGGAGTGTGATGCCTCCATTCCCTTCTTTTTTTTTCAGGAGAGCTTTGGCTATTTGGGGTTTTTGGTGATTCCATATGAATTTCATCAATAATTGTTCTGTTTCTTTTAAGAATGACATTGAAATTTTGATTGGAATAGCATTGAATCTGTATATTGCTTTTGGTAGGATGGCCATTTTAATAATGTTTATTCTTCCAATCCATGAGCAGGGGATGTCTTTCCATTTCTTTGTGTCTTCTTCTATTTCTTTTAACAGTGTTTTATAGTTTTCTTTGTATAGTTCCTTTACCTCTTTTGTTAGATTTATTCCCAAGTATTTGATTTTTTTTGTTTCGATAATAAAAGGGATGGTTTTTTTATTTCTTCTTCTTCAGATTTATTGTTTGTGTATAGGAAGGCTACTGACTTTTGCGTGTTGATTTTGTATCCTGCCACTTTACTGAACTGATTGATGAGTTGAATTAGTTTTTCTGTGGAGTTTTTGGGGTTCTCTATGTATATTATCATATCATCTGCAAATAGTGATAGTTTGACTTCTTCTTTTCCTATTTAGATTCCTTGTATGTCTTTCTCTTGTCTTATTGCTCTGGCTAGGACTTCCAGTATTATATTGAAAAGCAGTGGTGAGAGTGGACATCCTTGTCTTGTTCCAGATCTTAATGGAATTGCTTTCAGCTTTTCACCATTGAGAATGATACTGGCTGTTGGCTTGTCATATATGGCCTTTATGATGTTGAGGTATGTTCCTTGTATCCCAAGAATTTCAAGGACTTTTATCATAAATGGGTGTTGCACTTTGTCAAAAGTTTTCTCAGCATCTATTGATATTATCATATGTTTTTTATATTTCTTTTTGTTGATGTGTTGGATAACGTTGATTGATTTTCGGATGTTGAACCATCCTTGTGTCCCTGGAATGAATCCTACTTGGTCGTGGTGAATTATCTTATGGATACATTGTTGGATTCTGATAGCTAAAATTTTTTATTGAGGATTTTTGCATCAGTGTTCATTAGGGAGATTGGCCTGTAGTTTTCCTTTTTTGTGTTGTCCTTGTTTGGTTTTGGTATTAGTGTAATGTTGGCTTCATAGAACGTGTTTGGTATTGTCCCTTCCTTCTCAATTTTTGGGAAGAGTTTGTGAAGGATAGGCACTAATTTGTCTCTGTATGTTTGGTAGAATTCATTTGTAAATCCATCAGGTCCTGGGCTTTTGTATTTGGGGAGGTTTTTGATTACCATTTCAATTTCGCTGCTTGTAATTGGTCTGTTTAGGTGTTCTATTTCTTCTTTATCTAGCTTTGGGTGATTGTAGGGTTGTAGGAATTTGTCCATCTCCTCTAGATTGTTGAACTTGTTTCCATATAACTGTTCATAGTAGTTACTGATTATTCTTTTGATTTCTGCTGTGTCCGTTGTGATTTCTCCTTTTTCATTTATGATCCTGTTTATTTGTGCTTTCTCCCTTTTTCCCTTTGTGAGCCTGGCTAGGGGTTTGTCTATTTTATTGATTTTTTCGAAGAACCAGTTCTTGGTTTCATTGATCTTTTGGATCGTTTTTTTTTTTTAGTTTCAATTTCATTTATTTCTGCTTTGGTTTTTATTATTTCTTTTCTTCTACTGGTTTTGGGGTTTTTTGTTGTTCTTTTTCTAGATCTTTGAGCTGCGAGATTAGGTTGTTTCTTTGAGTTCTTTCTTCTTTCTTGATGTGAGCCTCTATTGCTATATATTTTCCTCTTATTACTGCTTTTGCTGTATCCCATACATTTAGGAAATTGGTGTCCTCCTTGTCATTCAATTCAAAGAATTTTTTAATTTCTTCTTTGATCTCCTCATTAGTCCAGTGTGGTTTTTAATCTCTATGAGGTAGGAGAGTTCCTTGCCTTCTTTTTATGGTTTATTTCTAGTTTGATGCCTTCATGGTCAGAAAAGATGGTTGGTATGATTTCAGTCTTGGTGTATCTGTTGATGTTTGTCTTGTGCCCCAGTGTGTGATCGATCCTGGAGAATGATCCATGTGCGCTTGAGAAAAATGTATACTCCGTTTTTTTGGGGTTTAGTGTTCTATAGATGTCTATTAAGCCCAAATGCTCTAGGTCCTTATTTAGAGCTTTAGTTTCTTTACTTATTTTTTGTCTTGTTGATCTATCCATTGTTGATAGTGGTGTGTTGAAGTCTCCCACTACGTATGTGTTTTCTCTGATGTCTGTTTTCAGAGTTGACAACAGTTGTCTGATAATATTTTGGTGCTCCTTCGTTTGGTGAATATATGTTAATGAGTGTTATTTCTTCTTGAAGTATTGTCCCCTTGATCATAATGTAGTGACCGTTGGGGTCTCTATTTATCTTTTTGAGTTTGAAATCTGTTTTATCTGATATAAGTATAGCTGTTCCTGCTTTCTTTTTTGGTCCATTTGCTTGTAGGATTGTTTTCCATCCTTTAACTTTGAGTCTGTTTTTATCTTTTGTAGCTACTTGTGTTTCCTGGAGACAGCAAAAGGTTGGGTTTTGTTTCTTAATCCAGCCTGTGACTCTGTGTCTTTTTATTGAAGAGTTTAGTCCATTTACATTTAGAGTTAATATTGATATGTTAACATCTGTATTTGCCATTGTGTTTGTCTTTCCTTTGATTTTAATTATTTATTCTTTTAATAACTTTTTTTTTTTTTTTTTGGCCTTCTTTCGTTGTTATTCATCCCTCTGAGGTTCTGACTTTAGGATTCCTTGTAGTATTTTTTGGAGTAGGGGTTTAGTCGTAATGAAATTCCAGAGTTTCTGTTTGTCTGGGAAGGTCCTTATTCTTTCTTCATAGAGGAAGGAGAGCTTTGCGGGATAGAGTATTCTTGGTTGGCATCTGTTTTCTTGGAGTCTGTTGACTATGTCTCTCCACTCTCTCCTTGCCCGTAGTGTTTCTTCAGAGAAGTCTGATGTCAGCCTGATTGGTTTTCCTTTGAATGTTATCTGTTTCTTCCCTCTTGTCAGCTTCATTATTTTTTCCTTGTCCTGGATTCTTGGGAGCTTTACTATTATGTGTCTTGCTGTATTTTTCCTTTCGTCATGGAAGTTTGGTGTTCTTCTTGCTTCTTGTATATCAATTTTCAACTCCTTCTTCATGTTTGGGAAGTTCTCTTCAGTTATCTCCTTGAATATTTTCTCTGTTCCTACATCTCTCTCCTCTCTTTCTGGTATTCCTATAACTCTTATATTTCCTTTCCTCATGGAGTCAGATAGTTCCCGAAGTTTTTCTTTGGTCTTTTTCCTTCGTACTTCTCTTTCCTTTTCTGTTTTGGTTCTTTTTATTTCTGTGTCTTCAAGAGTACTTACTCGTTCTTCCATTTCATCTATTCTGCTTTCATTGCTTTTCCCAGAGTTCTTTAGTGCCTCCATTAATTCTTTGATCTACTGCATTTCTTTTGCTTCTCTCTTTAGGGACTCAATTTCATTCTTCTGATGGTTGATTATTTTTCCCATATCATTGTTTTCCTTTATGAGTTCTGTCACTTTTTTAATCATGGCAATTTTAAATTCTCTTTCTGGAAGGCTCAGAAGTTCTTCCAAGTTACTGTCGTTGCAATCTGGGGTGTGGTTTTCTTTTTGTGGTGTGCTTTTTTTCCTGAGGAGTTGCTACTGTCTGTTGCTACTATCTGTTTTCTAATTTGTTGTATGTATTGGGACACTGTGTTGCTGGGACTGGCCGGCATCTTGGGTGAACTTCTCCGCTCCCCTCTGGCTCCTCCAGGAGCCATCTGTCGGCTTCAAGCAGTCTTTACTGAAGAAAGGTCCCTGTTCCAAAATGCCAATGTGGGGACAAACTCCCCTGTGTGCCTGGTCTGCCCCGGAGGTGGGTTCCTGCTCCCCCTCTGGGCTTGGACTGCAGGCCAGAAGGGGCCTGGCATGGGCGAGCTTCCCCGCTCACCTCTGGCTCCTGAGGGAGCCTTCTGCTGGTTTCAGGCAGTCTTTACTGAAGAAATGTCCCTGTTCTAAAATGGCAATGCGGGATGCACTCCCTGCTCGTCTGGTCTCAGGCACACTCTTCTGCGCACCCAGTCTGCCCCAGCCGTGGGTGCCCACTCCCGCTGTGGGCTCAGACTGCTGGTTGGAAGGGGCCTGGCATGGGCTAACTTCCCAGCTCACCCCTGGCTCCTCCGGGAGCCTTCTGCTGGTTTCAAGCAGTCTTTACTGAAGAAAGGTCCCTGTTCTATGGGGTGTTAGTGACTTTTTTCCTGGTCGCTAGGTGGCGCCAGAGATATCTCCTAGTGTCCTTGGGGAGCTGTTTTTTTCACCCCATGGGACAGTTTTCCCTGTATTTGTAAGCTCTATCTGAGGAAACTTCCATCATGGTAGACAGTCACAAAAATAAAAGTTTGTAGTGACACTCTCAAGATTGCCAACATAGTTTAAACTTTTATTACTTGTTTGATCTTAAAGTCCAAGTAATGAAGTAGGTACACTTTTACATAAAGCCAATTTGGGGTGTGCATGTGGATGTGTGTGCAGTGCTTAGATCTTAAATAATACTCACCTTCTTAATGATGATTGCGAGGTTTCTTTGAATCACCTCTTGTTCTTTTAAAATTATATGTACATCTGTAATTTCCTGGTCATAGCCAAAGCATTTCTAATTATGGTTTTAGTGCTATGGTCCGTGTTCTATAATTTCTGTATAGCAGCTTATCATTTTATTAATTTTGCCATAATAAACATTTGTTAAGGCAACATCAATTAGTAGCTCAGATGTTGAGAGTAATTTTATCTTTGTTTCATTTTGGTTTCTTGTATTAGAAACATTTTTTTCCCCATTTTTTTTGATGCTCTTAATTGTCTAAAATAATAAATTGCAACATAATCAGTGTGTCCTCCCAATAAAATATAATTAATATATTTTAAATGATTTTAAGATAAAAATTTCAGCTTCTTAAAATGTTAAACATACACCTGTCATGAAGTCTAGCCATTCTACTCAGATATTTATGAGAAACAGATGTCCACAGAAAGACTTTAATGTACACTATTATTTATAGTAGCTTTATTCTTAATAGTATTAAACTGGTTATATCCTAAAAATTCATCAAGAGGTAAATGAGTAAAGTAGTTATAATATACCCATACAATGGGATATTCTCAGTGACCAACATTGTACAACATGAATAAATCTTAAAACCTTTATATTGAGTGAAAGTAGCAAATCCAAAAGAATACATAGAGAGTCCATGAATTATGTTACTACATATGAAGTTCTAGCACAGGCAAAACCCAGGTATGGTGATTATATAAATCAGCACAATTGTTGCTTCTAGTAGAACTAATAGTGACTTGGAAAGGAATTTAAAGAAACCTCCATGGTAACAGAAAGGTTAAATGTCTTGATTGAGATGGTAATTCCACAAGTGCACATATTTGTAAAAGCTCTTCTTCAGAATGTACACTTAAAATTTGTGTATTATATATGTTAACACCTCAACTTTTAACAAGTCACTGATTTGCCCTTTCAAGAGAATAGATCTCAAATGTCAGGATTTCAAATGGAAATCTTTAGATTGAGGAACCTTGTTTTCATTCATTTTATCAACTTATGCTCTTGATGTCTTCATACTGTGCCAGTTGTCCTCGTTTATGGAGAAGCACTGTGTACCAGTTATCATAGTAACAAAAGTAAATACTTTGCATGGATTTTGTGTCAGGCACCATTTGTATGCTAACTTGTCTACAAGGTAGACAATTTCCATTTTATAGCTGGAAACAAGAGTTGTTAGTTGCTTTGCCCAGGTTGGTTAGGTCAGCCAGAATTCTAAATGAGGCTCTCTGGTTCCACAACTCAGGTTCCTCATGTTTGCTCTACTCAGATGGCCAACAAAAGAAGAGCCTTAGTCAAATGTGAAGAGAATCTTTTTCCTTATTTTATACATCAGAGAACTTAAAGCATAACCAAAGATGTGTTTTATTCATGAGTATGATACCAAAAATCCTGTAGATTTTTTTTTTTAATTCATAAACTTGAAAATGTGATGACACTTTCTGAGGAAATATGCATATATGTGTGAATGTTTGTTTTGTTACATGCTTGCTTATTTAAACATCTCTAAAATTAGAATTCAGCCTAGCAAATTGAAAATTTGGTGGTTGTTGCAAATAATTGTCAACTCCATTAACTTTTTCCATCCCACCTACATTTCCAAATGGTATATCAAAGCCAACACCTGCCCAAAGCTCCCACTATTAATTATCTTTTAAAAATCATATAATACTTTTACCAATTGTATATTAAATATGAGATTATAGAGGAAAATATTCTGATTTTATATTTTCATGTATATAATATTTCTCATCATAGCTGAAGGGATAAAATTAAGAGTCTCAAAGACGGCTGCCAATGGAACCGCTAAACCTACTACTTCTGATAATTTTGTGAGTATGGTATATATTTATTAGAATGGTTTTCTATCTTATGTATCGGTTCTTTGTATCTTTACTGTGTTTTTTCAGGACAAAAAAAATCATACCTATGCATCTAACTAAAACCAATAAGTACAACTATTTAGAATCCAAATTTTTCTTTAACTCTCTAAGAAAATGTTGACATAATTTCTGTAAGGCATAAATGTCAACTTCCTACAACATATGTAGAAATTAAAAGAATGTCATGCATTTGAGTTTACATACTTAAATTGTTATACATTCTGTTTTAAAATTCTGCTTTCAGGTAATAACATATAAATAATGTGTAACTTTATTTCTACAGGATGAAGATTTGAAGTGGGTAGAAGAAAATATTCCCTCTTCATTCACAGATGTGTAAATATCCTCTGTTAAAGTTTTAGTCTAGAATTTACTCAGGCTGTAGCATAAAGGGATCATGTTTATCCTTTGTCATGTGCTTTTCAAACCTTACCTCTCTATGTTTCTGTATGTCCTATGATTAGTGAATGACTGATTTACTTCATATGGAACCTTCATGCTACCTTAGTCTCTTGCTTTCCTTTTTTCTCTATACGGCCATGATTTTAATACTCCTGACCTAAACCAGCTTTTTCTGATCTAAGATGATCAGGATCAAAATTATGTTATTTTCTTTCAACTGTCTATTATGGAAAAGTTCAAACATACATAAAACTTTTTTTTTAAAGTACTTGTAACAACCATACATGTATGGTGTAGAAGCACCGGAGAAGAACATGAGCATAGGAAGAGCGCAGAGGAAGGCCCTCTGGGAGCTTTGAGTTATTCAGTGCCTCTTCAGCTGTGTTGTGTTTGATACAAGAATTCCAGATAGCTGTTCCCACAGTAGAAGCAGAAAACAGTCAGATAGGTAATGTGGATTTTCAAATGAGATAGCACACCAGTACTCAGATACATATCCAATTTTAGTCAAAAATAACAGGGGCTTAAATAAATATGCAGTTGGATTTCAGTTATGTTTGGAATTATTCATTTGTATGCTTTAGTCATTGATATTTCTCCAACATATTTGTCTCTAGAATTACTGATCGTTGTTTATGTTGTTGTTTCTACTTCAAAGTTGTGATTATATTCTTACTTTACTTTTTAACTGATATTTTTGAAAATATAACACATTATGAAAAGCACAAATTGTAAGTGGATAGCTCAATAAATTTTTAATATGAGCACACTCAGGTACCTAGTGCCTAGGTAAAAAATAGGACATCATTAGAGCACCCTCATTTTCCTTTGAAATCATCACCCCATTTCCCAAAGATACTGCTGACCTAAAATCTGTTACTGAACATTACTTGTGTCAGTTTAAAAAAACTCTGTATCTCTCAGTAGTTCATTTATTTTCTTTGCTGTATAGTGTTCCATTATATGAGTAAATCATAGGTAACGAATATGGGTTGTTTTCAGTTTGTGAACTCTTAAGAACAGCATTGGCATAAATACTTCTCCATGTTTGTTGATGAACCTTAGTATTCATTTTTGTTGTCTGTCCAGAAGGAAGAATTGATGGGATATTCTTCTGTCCAACTTTAGTTGATAAATGGCCTCTTAATGCATTGCCAATTGTTTTGTTTTTTTATTTTGTTTCAGAGCTCTTCCAGTGTTAGTGGATTCAGATGAGGTAAAATATATTTTCGTTTATTTCTTTGGAGCTATTATTTTCACAAAGTAGAAAAATATTTCAGAAAGGATTTCAGAAAGTTACTTTTGTGACATGATTACAAATTGAGCAGGCTGAAAGACACCATACATTGGTTTGTTGATAAAGTAAAAGGAACTAGATTCTCATATAAAACAGGAACAAATTAAATGATTGTTGGTTGTAAAAGAGGGGAAGGATTACTTTATGAGATTTTGAGTCTGATCTTTTTGACATCTTGTTTATAGGTAAGAATTTAGAAGACCTTAAGATGGAATTTTATTTTATATTTGTAGATATTTTGCTGAGGTAGTAAATAAAAGTTTCTGACTCATTTTCACTTACTAAGTAGAAATTACTCAATAGAGAATGTGGATTTAGAAAAGTTTGGGGGGAAAATTTAACTAAGGAGCCTCTGGACATTGAAGTGTAGCCCAAGACAAAAAAATTAAAAAGTGTAACAACTGAAGAAAAAGAAGTAGTTTATGTAGTTGTAGAATATGAGAGAAGCTACAGCTCTGTTCATGAAAAGGTAAGGGAAATAACTTTGATATCAAATGTTGATTTGCCTGTGTGGAATGGGGAGTTTTGAGAAGGGCTCAGTATACATGTACCTTGCTATAAAACACCTGAACTTCTATACTACAGAAAGATATACCATAGAATTACTTTAAAAGGGCATTTATGGTATTCATTTGATTGTTGATTTATAATTTCAAATAGACATTAATTGCATACGTTGAAATAATTTCCTTGATGAGCTATCCCTAAAAACCCTATTTTGGCCTATTGCCTCATACTGATACTTCTGAACTTGAAGTATTTTCTAGCTAGCAATACAATGAAGTTTTCTGAATTTCTCAGCAGGTAATTTTATGTCACTAGAAAGTGTGAGTTACATGGTTTTTATTTCTGTATCTAATACTCTGTGTATATTGTTGTGTAATTATAAATTTCAGTCTTCTACAAAGTTGTATGGGAAGATTAGAGAATTTTGTTATGTTCTGGAAGGTGCACCTTCCAGATGCATTTTGATGCATTTTTTTTCTTTTTTTTAGGAAATCATGACCAGATCTGAAATGGCAGAAAAAATGTTCTCCTCAGAAAAAATAATGTGATTGGGACCAGTATAAATGAGACTGGCTAACGGTGAAGGACTCACTTAAGGCTCAAAGAGAGCTTTGTTTTGATATAGTGCAACAAGTTTTTATTGCATCATCTTAGAAATCTGTATATTAAAATTAAATATCCGGGTGGTGGGAAGGCCATGCAACCCTTCATAAACTGACTCCTGACTGTCAGTTTAATGTCCATTAAATTGCCTGGAAAATAAGGATGATTATGTGATTAGTTTTGCCAAGTGTGCACGTGTGTGTGTGCACACATTTGCACAAAGCCCTTGTTTGCAAATATCACCATGCACATCAAATCATGGAGTTAGGTCTTCTCTTTCTACGCTCTGGGGAACCTAACTCTCCAGAGAAAGTGATTGTGATGGTCACTTCCAGAGCTCTGCCAGTCCGCCCTGACTCAGGCTGTATGTGCATGTACTGCTGCGAATCTGCCTGAGGCGGGTGGTGGGCACCCAGCCACAGGGCTCCCTGAGCACTTCTCCCCCACAAACTGGGTGACTCATGACCAGTGAACCTTAGGGAACTTAGAACCTTATCTTTTGTGTAAACTTGACATACTTGGTTTTATAATAAAACATTTAACTGCACAGCACATCACTATTAATCTTTTCATTTGTTAACCTTCAATCATGTTTATACAATATTTTGTTACATTTATATGTAATGTGTGATTTGAAAAGTTTTTTGAAATGCAAAGTGTTCTAAACTTGAAAGGCAATTGAATGTAGCGTGACAGAAATGTGATGTTTTGCTCCTTTCATGACCAAAGATTCAGGGGTAGTGGACATTTAGACTAGGAATTAAAATAAGAATCTTGTATGTCTTTCTTTTGAAGAGTTTTAATCTTGTGCATTAAGAATGACTTCAGGGATTGTTGATTAAGAAACTTTAACGTCCTAAATTTTAACAAGCAAATATAACCTTTTCTCTGGATGTGAAGCTACAAAACAAAAGTTTTTCTTTTGCTTTTTCAATTCATTTCTTTCTTTCTCATGTTACAGAAGTTTGTGAAAATTTATTTCAAGTAATGGTATCCTTGAATAATATTTTCCAAATTAATTTCCTATAGTGAAATCCAGATGTTGTCAAACATCGCTCAAAAAAAGCATGGGCTTCAAGATGTCAGTACTTTACAATATCTGTCCTAGAGAAGGATTTCTAAGTTAATAGTGTGGACTCCATTCCTTATTTCAGTTTCTGCCCCAGGGACAGGGTCCCACCCACCCACTGCATTGTCCCAGCATTTATGTCCATTCTGGTTTTGGTGTATGCCACCCTCCGCCCAGTTGTTTCAGAGTGGAGGTGACATTGCTTCTTGTTCCCAGCATTTTTGTCTAATACCATGCCTCACATTTTGAGTCAGATTACCGTCCAACTCATCATATGATTCTAATTGAATTTTAAAATGCAGACTCCTGAGCTTCCAGCCAGTAGGAGTTGCATATTTAATGAAGTCGGAGTAAGGAGTTGATGGTAGGTGTGATGATAAAGTAAACGGCTTCAGACATACTCTCCATAGTATTATAAAAACACATTTTCTACAACTGGGAAGAGAAATGAGACTGCCTACAAGATTCAGCTACAGGTTGAAATGCAAACTTTTCTCATTAGTTAGAGAAAGCAGAATGCACTCCTCATAGCTTTGATAGAAATACTGTTTCTCAAAGGACGTATACTGAGTCTGTCACTTTTAATAATAGTGTGATCTGTTGCTGTTTCATGACCCTAATTGAATATCCTATGAAGGACCTTCTTAGATAAACCCTGGAGCCATAGATGTACTTCACATGAAGACACTGGGGAGAAATTATACCCAGGGCTACTGTACAGCTCATTATCCCTGCTTCTGCATGAAGTTTCCAGAAACATCATCAAGGTCTCTGAGGCCATCAGATCCATTCTTACAATGCTGTCGAGATGGGTGTCCCTATTAATGAAGGAATCTGAGGATGAGTCCAGTTTGTACATGTTTCCAAATAAAATGGCTAAGTGTTCTTATACAACTTATGTAAGATTTATATGATGTGTGAAATTTATTTAAAAATTTCATGGTTTGAGTTAAATTAGTATTAAACTATTTGAATATGTGAACTTTTTAAGCTGAAGAGATATGATATTCCCTTCCCTTGTAAAAATATAAATTACCGAAATTTTTCATATCCCATAGAGAATACTGACTTCCCCCCTGTAATATAGGACAAAATTATTGTACATTGTTTGCACTACTGTAATGTCAAGACAAAGTATAAAAATGTAAATATAAAGTTGATTTTTAATTCCTTTTTTAAGGGGTTTGAGTTATTAAATTAGGTTATACATGACTGGTTTAAAGTTGAGACATGTTATACTAAATTTATATATCACTTGGCTGGGTACTTTTGTCTTTGTCTGATCAACAGCATGCAATAAGCAATACAAAACACCAAGCCTTACAAGTTTAACATATTGGTTAAAGTTCTAAACATATCAAATATACATGTGACAAAGCTAGATTTTTAAGGAAATGTATATTATAATGCAGGGCTCACTACTGCATTAAACAGTGTCTTTAGAACTAGGAAAACATTATCTGGGGAGAAAGTTTAGGGGTGTAAGAAGTTATATTTTTCTATTTTAAAAGGTTAAATTATTGTATAATTTGGAAGAAATTGTTTTGATTGTAGGACAAAACTATTTCAAAGATTTTTGTTTGAAAAAATTAATGTATTTTTGTGCCTTAATATTCTAACTTTTAATAAAATACCTTCTGGAATTTTGCATGAATGCCTGTTAATATCTACTAAGGTATAAATGTATAGGAAATATAGATTCCAGTAAATTGCAGGACATAAGGTTCTTAAGAGGTACAACTAATTAACAAGCATGGAAAAGTGTTCAACCTCAATAGTGATCACAGAAATACAAAATAAAGGAATTCACAAATTAAATTTAAAAATCAAATTCATATATTTACACCATTATAAATATTTGCAAAACTCTTTTGCTCTAATAGTCTGAAATGAGCACACATTGATGGTAATGTCATGGATTCAGTTTTTGTGGAAAGAAGGTCAACTATGTTTATAACCTTCAAATACTGCCCGTTTAGGTGATGTTTCAAAAATGATTCCAAATACAGAAAAAGACTTCCACACAAAAGTGTTTAGTAGAGCATGATTTAGAGACAAAATTAGAAACATCAACAGTAGTTCAGTGAATTATGGTTCAACCAGCTGCATGTTATAGAACACTTTGTAATCATTAAATTATTAGGGATTACAATAAAAGAAAAGGAATAGGATACAAAGTTGTGTATGTGGAGCCTTAACAAAGTGGAAAAAGGATCCAGTGGAATATATCACTAGGACCACTTGGTATTTAGGTTCAACTGGGGGATGGTCAAATTGTACCAACATTTCAGTAGAAGTTTGCTTCATGATCATGTGACAAATCTAGGTAGGTGTAGAGTGAACATCTCTCCACATGGTCCCTTGCGGACCCAAGATTTATTTCCATCTTGCATGTCTACCATCGGAACCTATCAGCAGAGGCAAATGTTCATCCAGCTTGGGAAGTTTTGTGGGGCTACACCTGGAAGTGTGCACACCACTTCTCAGCATATTCCATTGGCAAAAACATCGCTGCCGCAGCAAACTGCCAGTTAGACTGGGAAATGTCAAGAGCCATATGCCTGCCTAATCTCCCATGAAAGGAGAGGATGGACTTGAGTGGACAACTGATGACTTCAACCACAGATTATTTGGGGCAATGGATTAGGAGAGATTTAAAGGGCTTTCTATGTTTTCTCAGTTTTCTAAGATAAACAGGTAAAAAGATAAACGTCGTTATGAGGGTATATGACTTCTAGAAACAAAGATTGTTTTATATCACAGTTAAATCCATTAATAAATAAATCCACCCTGCCTTGGCTACTTGGAACTTGGGGAATTTTCTTCATAGAAATTATCCCAGCCTTGGGGGTGGTCAAGATGAGTCATCCCAGAGGAAAACCTGGGATTATTAAGTGATGACAGCTTAAGGAGTATTGGGAGTACTTAATGCCAGGCTTTCTTAACCATTGTATTCTCATAGTGACCAATAAAGTAGATAAAACTTACAAGTTTGTTTTTTTTTTTTTTTTTTTTTTTTTTTTTTTTTTTTTAATAGAGGCATGCTTTATTTATTTAATTTATTTATTTATTTTGTTTGTTTGTTTATACATGCACTGGGTACAGTCAGAAGCGCGGGAGGGTGAGAGAATTCACCAGATCCAGAGCAGGGAGCAGAGCAGGCAGAAGGACCGAAGTACACTGCTGAGGGGAGCAGCGGGCGGCAGGAGTGGTCTGCGCGCCATGTGGAACCCTCCTCCGGTGGCCTGGGAGCAGCCGGGGATCGAACCGGCGCCGCGGAGGCTGCGGGCAGCTTCGCAACCCAGCGCTCAACCGCTGCGCCACCGGGGAGGCCCACAAGTTTGTTTTTTTTTCTGAAAGATTATGCATACTTACCTTGCAGGGGAGATACCATGATCACGAAGTGGTTTTCCCAGGGCGAGGCTTATCCATTGCACTCCGGATGTGCTGACCCCTGCGATTTCCCCAAATGTGGGAAACTCGACTGCATAATTTGTGGTAGTGGGGGACTGCGTTCGCACTCTCCCCTGTTTAAAAAAAAAAGAAAGAAAGATTATGCATATAAGAACTGGGGTACAGGCCAGAGTTGCAGGGGGTGAGAGTATTCACCAGAGACAGAGTGGGGAGCAGAGCAGATGGAAAAAGCTTCTAAGTTTATAGATAGAAAAGGGACACTAGAGTGGTTAAATAATGTGCCAAACTCACTTTCCTGGCAGGTGACAATGCTGAAACAGTGCTGGTGGGAAACATCCTTGAAGGATTATTCTCAGAGTCTTGGGGAAAAGGGAAGTTTCAGTTAACAAACGCAAGTTTGCTTGTCATGCAAGTTAGATAATGTATCTAAAATTGCCTTTGCACAGGCCTTCACAAGGCAGCTAAGGTCTACAAAACAAGCAGCAGTGATTGTCAGAGGTGCTACCCAGACCCAGCCAAAACAAGCTCCTGCATGTGAAATTCAAACACAGGCTACTTTTATTTATCTGTGTTAAAATGAAGTTATCCAGGGCAAGTTCTATACCCATTGAGCGGTAGTGGGTCCACAGCTAAATTCCAACTGACATAAACTTGCATGGTACCAAATTCAAATGTAACTAATTTTGACAATATTTCCTTTAAATCATTTTGGGAAAGTATTAAGAAACTGCAATGAAAGTTAATATACAGAAAAAAAATTTAAGCTATCCAGTAGATGGTGCCAAAGTAATGTCTCTGAAGAGATCTGATCTCAACATTTTTGGTCTCTAAAAATTCTTGCTTTTAAAAAATGTATACTTTTACTTCACAAATACCATTAAACAAATTTAGAGATCAAATAAAACACTTTTCAAAAAAAAAAAAAGTACACAGACTATCCTGACAAAATACCAGGTGCTCAGGACTTCACAAGACAGCTAAGGTTATTATAAAAGCTGCACAAATTACCATTTTTAAATATTTTTCCAGTTTTCCTCAGAATTAGAACTTAAAAACTGGAAGTGGCTTCTGAGATCATTTTACAGATAAGAAAATGGGGAGGCAGGAAAACTTCATTGTCCCTCAGGTCAGACTTGGCCTACTTATTAGCTTTTATAACCTCTGGGATTTTGGGGATCAATGGGTTGGAGGTGCCACAGAAAGTTAAACTGCATGTCACAACTTGAAATACATTTTACATGCTTTGGTTACCCTTGCTGTGTCATTTTATGTGACTTTGCTGTCTTTTATTCTAGCCCAAAATTCTGCCTCTACATAGTCATAATACTGAGTACATAATACTCTGGCTCTTGATAAATGGAGATTTCCTGGGGTATAGTGGAATCCAGAGAGTGACAGAGTCTATTTTACTTGTGGCACTGAAAATACTGAGACTAAATATTTTAGTCCATAAATGTTATCTTCCCTTTAAAAAAACAAAAGTTTGGGCATTAAGGTGTATGTTCCCAAAGAATTAAGAGAGTGAAGTTAGCCTTTTCACTAACTATGAAATTACTTCTTAAGAATTTCTCATTTTTCCCTTCCCTTCTTTATGTGTGTGTGTGTGTGTGTGTGTGTGTGTGTATATAATTATATATATATAATTTTTTTTAATTGAAGTAACATTGGTTTATATCAGTTTTGTGGCTTAGAGTTATAGGATCTCCCCCTTCGGGTGTTGTTACTACACCACACCCACCACCAAAATACCCACAGTCCTCTGCCAAAGCAACCATTGTTGCTGTTCTTTTTTTCTCCCCCCTCCCCTCTCCCTTCTGGTAATCTCAGTTTCATAGTCAGATTTCCAGGGTTTGTTGTTAGTTTGGCTTTATCTGATCCTTTGTTTGGTTTCTTCGTGTTCCACAAGTAACTGACACCACCTCCTGACTTTATTCCTCTTAGCATAATCCCCTCTGGTGCCACCCATAGAGTCGCAAATAGCAAGCATTTATCTTTTTTTTTTGACAACAAAGTAAGTTTCCTTTGTGTCTATATACTACATCTTCTGTACCCTTTTATCTGTCATTGGGCACAAGTTGTTTCTGTAATTTGATTATTGTAAATAGTGCTGTAAAGAAGGCAGGAGCACATACAACTCTTTGTTTAGTGTTTCTGCATTCTTCGAAAAGATGCCAAACTATTCTTAATAGTTTGAGGAAACTCCATACTCTTTTCTGCACAGAATAAGATCAGTCTCATTGCCACCAATAGCCACAAAAGACAATGAAGTCCTGATAGATGCTACACTATGGATGAAACTTGAGAACATTATACTTAGTGAAAGAAGGTAGCCACACACATACACACACGAAAAAATATTGATGTTTATATTATAAAATTTCCACGCCAAACCAGATTCCAGAGGGCACTGCAAGACTATTGAAGTGTTTCCTACAGGTTGGCCTCTGGGGGACAAAAGCGCTGGATGGGAAAGGATGCAGAGAGCACTTGAGGAGGCAAATAGAGCTGTCTGAATTCTAGGCCTGGGAATTAATTTTGGAAGGCAGCCAAGCTCACCTACCCAGAATTAATTTTCATAATTCCTTGGAGGTTGTTATCATTAGGTCTAACTTGGATAGGTGTGGTCTCAATTTACAGTAAAAAATGTTTTTGAAAAATTATACTTGAAGCTAATTCTGATAAATCTGCCTTAGAAAACATCAAAACGTGACTGAAAATAATGAGCAAATCCTTGTGTGTAGTTTCTGCTACAGTGTGCAGCAGAGAGTACATTCATGGTGCAAACACTCCTCTCTCCCAATCACTAACTTGCTTTTGGATTTTGGGCAACTTTCTGAAGCATTCTAAGCTTCAGTTTCCCAATCTGTAAAATGGGGAAAATAATGGGATCCATTTCCCTGTGTTGTTATGAGGGAATAAATGAAAACACTTGATTAACAGAGGGCCTAGCCTACCACAAGTGCTCCAGAAATGTTAGTCCCTCATATTTTCCCTGTATGAAGGATCACCAGTAAATTTAAGCAATGCCCCATGAACTAAGCACCTACTAAATGCTAAGCACTATGTTGGGAATTTAATAGTATTTTGAAACTCGGTAAAACTCTTCAGACAAAGACTGTTTCCATTATATGCATGAAGAAACTGAGGCTGGCAAAGAAAGGAGAGTTGCAAGACTACATTGCAGCGTGCATGGAGTAAGATTTGATCCAGGTGTGTCTGATTTCAAGGACTGTGTGTCCTTGACTACAGCCACTACTCTGCCCCTTCCAGCAGCCTTTGGACGTCAGTGTGGAATGGCATTCATGGATTTGCCATGTTTTCCTACTTTTGGCAGAAGTTGACTGGTATTTGGTCTTTAATCATGGAACAATTAGATTTTTTTCCCCATAGATTTTCATTTTATAAAATTGGAAACAGTTTTCTAGAGGGAAAACCTTGTCTAGATGTCATGATATCATACACGAGCAGAAAATATTTTCAAAGTTCAGTGCTGTACTGCATGGTTTGGTTGGCTAGGACTTGATGTCATGTGAAAGCTTAATGTAGTGCTTCACTCAGGGCTCTGCCTGGAGCCAGCACTTGATAAATATTTATGTAGTGAATGAATTAAACTATGTCACAGCATTCCTGCTGGGCCCTGTTGCTACCCTGTTACCCTGTGTCAGGTTATCACAGGACAATCCTATTATCACAGGAACACGGCTTTATTCCTGGAACCCTTGTAAGTAAGTGCTTAGTGACTGATGACATTTAGAATCAGAGATAAATGTGGGGATGGAGGCGGTAAAGGGAAAGAATCCACAATGAACTAACAGGCAAGATTTAACCACAGGTAAATCACTGAGAAGCCCATGAAACCTACAAGGGTAAGCCATATGGTGTATGACACCGTATGGACCCAGGAGGACAGCTCTGGAATGACCACTTTAGACTAAGTGCTGCTTCTGGCTAGGTCTTATACAGATTTCCATGACAAACCTCATCTCATTTTGCATCCCCAGGGAACATGACAACATCCAAGCACCAATCCCAAGAGATGGCAATAGATTCTGCCGGAAAACTTTTAAAATATTTTCTTTAGACAAGTAGACCTCCTGCCAATCCCTTAACACTTAGAATAATCTCATGAAAACTAAATATAGAGCAAACAGGAGAAGTGTTTCTGATAGGCCCATTTTATTGTCAAAGGTTAGTTTGGGGAGTTTTTAATAAAGGGTACTGGGCTTATTTTCATGGGCTGTCTGCTTTTAGACAGTTTTGACAGGTTCTGGGCCACTGAGGATCTCCTGGATGACTACAGATCAAGGGCAATTGAGGACAGAGAGCCAAGGGACAGTGGTGCTGGAGCAGCAGGACCTTAGAAGGGTAATTCAGACCAGACATCAGAACACCAAACAGAAGGCTGTCATAGGACAAGAATAACAGACAGAAATTAGCAAATAGGGGGGAAAAATCCCTGTTCAAACTTAGAAATCCTTGCTAAATTTTTTAAAAGGAAAAAAATATCTATTCCTGTCAATAACAGTCCCTGAAACCCCATGATCATGTAAGTCAAAGGTGGGGTAGATTGAAGATGGTCTGTCTTAGAAACAACCCAGCTCTGGGAAGGGGCCCTGGGTTTGCATACTTTGGGCAAGTCACTCAATCACGCCCCACTCCAGAGTCTTCATCTGTGAAGTCAGGAGTCTCTTCCAGCTTTAGGAAACCATGGAGTGGGCATAAGAAAAGAGAAGAAGGCTTGCTTACATCTGCCAATGTGTGGTTTCCAGCGCACAGCCAGAGCAGGACTAAGAAGGTTTGGCCTTCCGGGGAGGCTGCCCCGTAAACACAAGGTGGGATAAAATACAAAATAAACACGGCCACACTGACCAGAACGAATCCTTTCATTACTGGGGCGGGGGACAGAAAGAGAGACGACACTGGCCTTTAGCATGGACAGCATACACATGAGAGATTGAGGCAGAAAACCACAGTTCCCACCGGTGGCCCAGGCTTGGGCCCTGCCTGCCTGATACCCTCCACCTGGACAGGCAGAAGCACTCTTCTGTCCAGGTCTCTCTCCAAGATGTTTAAGTAGGAATGAGAGTAAGATTAACTGGCCTGTTCTACTTCCTTTGGCAGGAAGGGGAGGGAGAAGCACAGTAGGATTTTCTGGGTAATGACTACCCAGGTGGCTGGGCCCCCACACCATGCCCCTTGCTTGCCAAGGGGCACCAACTTTCCTTTCTGGCTTGCAATAGAAAACAGTTCCTGCCTGCGGCTGCAATCTTCCAAGTTCATTCCCTGATATCTGATTGGGCACTAACAAGTGAAATTCAGAAAAGGAAATATATCTTTGAAACTTCATCAGACTTGATGTGCACCAGGACATCTGCAGTATAGCCTTCTGAAAACTTTCTAGTTAGAAAGGAAATATTTTCCAGGAGCCTGAGTCAGCCCTTCCCAGCCTGTTTCCCACCGAATTTCAGCAGACCATGCAACACTCCGAAAACCCTGCCTCCCTGTTAAACTGAGTTTCTCCTTCCACTTGGGAAGCAGAAGGCTGTAAAATTAGGTCTGTAGGTTGTGTGTTCTTGTCTCCCAACAGCATTATTTGAAAAGATGCTGGTCTTATGGAGAATTTAGTTTAACTTATGTCAAGTTTATGAAGCCTATCTCCTGGGCCTCCCTGGTGGCACAAGGGGTTACGACGCAACCTATGAAGCTATCTGCAGCCTCTGCAGCATGAGTTCAATCCCCAACCGGCCAGGGAGCTACCCCCATGGCGCGGCAGACCTCCCCTGACTCACCCACTGCTCCCCTCAGCAGTGTATTTCGTCAGTCTGCCTGTTCTGTTCCCCGCTCTGTCTCTGGTGAATCCTCTCTCTCTCACACACACACACCCTCTTGCCTGTACCCCAGTTCTTGTATGCATAAATAAATAAATCTTTTTAAAAAATGAAGCCTATCTCCTGGCCAAACTGATCCTGGTGTCTGAGGAAGTTGGCCTTGCGTGGGTTTCTAAGTAAGATGGATCTGGATTGGACTCCCGGCTCTACCACGTGTTGCTTGCTACGTGATGTGAGCCTCAGTTTCCCCAGCCGGGAAAGGGGCCGGTCAGAAGCGTCCCAGCCCAGCCCAGGTGGACCCCGAGGCTCCAGTAGATGCCGGGTACCGGCCGAGCTGCCCCGGTTGCCCTTCCCTGAGAGGGCCCTAAGGATGCCTCGGCCTCTCGCCCGGCCTCTTCGGGGAGCGCGGGTTGGGCGCGCTCCCAGGCGCATTCCTGGCCGGGCAGCCCCTCCTCCTTGGCCTTAGCCAAGGGGCTGGCGCCTCCCGGCCTCGCCGGAGCTGTCTCGTGCGGCGGCTGCGGACGCTCGTGGGCGCGGGTGGTCCAAAGCCTGCGCGCCGCGCACCTGGACCCACGCGGCGCCTCGGGAGCGGAGCCGCCGGCGCCCGCGCACTCCCGCCTCCCGCCGGCCGGAGCCGCTCCTGGGCGCGGAGGAGCCCGGCACCCTGCAGGGGCGGCGCGGCACCCGCTGGGGCAAACTCGGCAGGAAAGGCAGACGAAGTTATTTCCCCTTCCCAAGCAGAAAGGTTCCGATTGGCAAGATGGTGCCCAGCTGTCCCCGCGCGCTCTTCCTTCTGCTGCTGCTCCTCGCCTGCCCCGAATCGCGGGCTTCCCAGGTCAGTGTCCTGCCACTCTCATCTGTCGGGGCTGCAGGGGGAAGCGACGCCGAGGCCGGAGGACCTGGGCTCGCCACATTCCACGGCAGTGGGTTGAGGCTGGGGGGCTTGGAGAGATTCTGGGCCAGCGTTCCATTTTCAGAGATGCGATCCCCCATCTGTCCTATCAGACGCATCTCCCGCCGGGTTTCTGGGAAGACCCGGGAGCAGTTTGTGTAAAAGCATCTGTCCGCTGGGGAGAAGGCGCCACGTGAGAAGCGCCGGCTGGACGAGGATTACCTTGGCATTTATGAGACTTCTGTCTTGCCTGGGTCTCCATCAGAGCTCCCTGTCACCCAAGTACTCCGAGAACGTCCCAGCTCTCCAACCTCCGACATTTAAATTGCTCACTGAAATGTTTCTTACCACTACCAATTTTTAAACGGGCTAGGACTTTGCATTTTGTAACGTGTCCCAGGCAGAGGTGGGCGGGAGGTTTCTCGAGTGTTCCCATCCGGAGTCTATGAGACTACATTTGCTTTCCCACACATACAGGCTGTTTAGTTTTCTTGTCCGTGCCCTTTGGCATTTGTTGGAGTCCTACTGCATTTATTTATTTGACCATTAAGAACGGGTGGTTAAAATTAAGATAAGAATGCTGATAAAAATGCCTCCTTCCAAAGGTGGAATTGGAATTATAGAGAATGAGGGTTCAGTAACCTCTAGATTAGCTCTGGCAGCCAAAGACCCCTGTCTCTGGGATGGGTGTGGGCTGTGGACTGAGTGAGCAGGTACCCCAACAATAGGTCCTCAGCTGCAAAAGTGTAAACACTAAGGGAAGCAGGCCTGCAGGAGCTTACTGAGAGCCTGATGAGGGCTAGGTTCTTGCTAAGCATCTTTCAGGCAGTTCATTCTTGGAGCAGTTCATTGAGATTTGAATTATTGCCATACCATTTTGCAGATGCAGAAACTGAGGCCTAGGGAGATTGTGACTTACTCAAAGTCATGCAGCCAGGAAGAAATGGAATAAATTTGGTCTCTCTTGGGCTCCAGACTTTCCTCTTCCCCACAAACACTAGTCCATGGACTAAATTCCCACACCATGCAGGTCTCCTTGGCCTGCAGGTCTCCTTGGCCACCTAGAAATCTGGGTTTCAGGAAAGGATTCCAGGCAGGACCAACCTGGTTCAAACTACCCCATGGGTGATGTTTGTGAAGAAGTGGTGAGGTGTAGAAGTGAAACTGAAGGAAGCTATTCAGCCATCTGGTAACAGAGGCCTAGCCTGAGGCAGGAATTAATCCACCCAACCGGAAGAAGGGGCACCCACCCACACTGCAAATTACAAAACAATACAAAACCTCAGACCCAGAGTCTAACTGAAGCACAAGGGGTTAGGTAGGTGCATCCCCAAGCCATCCAAAGCCAATGGAGGGGGCAGGGTAGAAAGGATGTGGAGGAGCCCTACACTGTCAGTGTCTGCTTTACTGGGCTAACTGTCTCTCAAGGTTACCTGGAAAACAGGTGAGACCTCTGCAGCCTCAGATGTTGGCAACTGCTGCAGAGGCAGAAACAGGAACTCTCTCAGACACTGTTCCTGGAAGATCTGGGTTCACTCTCTGCCCTGCCATATCCAGTCTTTCTCAAATTCCTTATCCTCTGAACTTCAGTTTCTTTACCTCAAAAGCCCTGTCTCACTGGCCTTTGTGAGGGGAAGGGAGCCAAAGAATAGCCCTAGAAGTTGATCTGGAAATGCTAGTGATACTTTCGTGCATAGAAAGTCCTATGAGGTTGGGGGCTTCTCCTGACCAGCTCGAAAGAGGTCTCAGTATCCCGTGCATGCTGAACCCCTCTTTACATGGCTCCTCTTTGGATCTTTGCTCAAATAAACACCTCTTTGCAGAGGGCTTCCCAACCCACTCTAAATAGGTCCCCTCCCGGGCCTACCTGGTAGCGCAAAGGGTTAAGACGCAACCTATGAAGCAGTCTGCAGCCTCTGCAGCACGAGTTCGATCCCTGGCCTTGCCAGGGAGCAGCCCACATGGCTCAGCAGACCTCTCCTGTCTTGCCCGTTGCTCCCCTCAGCGGTATATTTCAGTCAGTCTACCTGTTCTGCTCCCCACTCTGTCTCTGGTGAATCCTCTCATTCCCTACATCTCTGCCTGTACCCCAGCTCTTGTATGCATAAATGAATAAATCTTAAATAAATAAATAAATAAATAAATAAATAGGTCTCCTCCCTCCCCCCTTGTGTTTTCCATTATGTTCCTCTAAAGGACTATGGCATAGGATTGATGACGTTTGGGACAATTATTTTGGCAGGTTTGGGGTTTATTGTCTGTCTTCCTATTACAGGGCAGGGTGAGGGGCACCCCTCAAATCTGCCTGCTCTAATTAGGTTCTGCCATCTGCCACATCAACACAAAACATATGAGACTTTAATGAAAAGGAACTTTTTTTTTTTTTTTTAAAGATTTATTATTTATTTATTTATTTATTTTTATTTGTACAAGCACTGGGTACAGTCAGAAGCGCGGGAGGGTGAGAGAATTCACCAGAGCCAGAGCGGGGAGCAGAGCAGGCAGAAGGACCGAAGTACACTGCTGAGGGGAGCAGCGGGCGGCAGGAGAGGTCTGCGCGCCATGTGGGACCCTCCTCCGGTGGCCGGGGAGCAGCCGGGGATCGAACCGGCGCTGCAGAGACTGTGGTCAGCTTCGCAACCCAGCGCTCAACCGCTGCGCCACCGGGGAGGCCCCAATGAAAAGGAACTTTAATACAATTAGTAAACAATACAGGAAAGGCAAAAAATACAGTTTCTAAACCAAGCACCCAAAGATACCCGTCCCCTCGTGAGTAAAAGTTCACCCAAGCAGGATTGGCCCAGAACAAGCCCCAAAAAGCCTACCATAAGTCTAAAGATCTTCCAGTGGGGACCCACAGAAAAGGATCAGAAGCAACCAGACAAGTCTGGAAGGAAAAGAGCAAAATCAAAATCAAGATAAAAGCTGCCATTGTCACCAACCCATGGGTCTCACCCACATCTGTGTCACCCCGTCCACGACCAAAAGGCATGTGTAGTTTCTTCACGTGTCTCTCTGCTCCATGTGCCTCCTCCAGGCTCCATTCTGCTTCCACCTTCCTCTGTCTCCTCTGCAGCTTCTTCTCTCCCTGCTCAGCTCCACCCTCGTTTTGGGTGGGGCAGGAAACCTGGAACCTCCCCCTTTCCTGGGGACCACCCTGTTACATTCCCACTACAAGGTGCCAGGGACAGGGCCCACATCTGGACTTAGTACCCAGGGACCTGCTCTAGTAGGAGTTCAGAGGAATGAATGGAGCTGGGGCATACTGGGCTGGTCTCACTCAGCAGGGTGGGGCTGAGCAGTCTCTGGGCCGGCCTTGCCTGCACAACAGATCACCTGGCCAGCTTCTTTCTAGAAATCTTGATGCTTGCCTCAGCCCAGAAATCCTGACTCAGTGGGTCTGGATTGGAGCTCAGATATCAGTCTTTTTTTTAAAATTGTCCCTGGTAACTCTAATCAAGCAGATTCCTTAGATGTAGGAGGACTCCAGCTTTCAGAATTAAAAAGCCGTGGGCCTAGGGGAGGGCGGAGGGCAGGGGAATTCACAGTGGACACAAGATTGGGCTCTTGAGAACCTGAGGTGACCATGGACCCAAAATTTACCTGAGCTGAACACGGTATGGGCCCTGGGCCTCCTGACCCCAGCAGTAAGATCTGTTGGCTGGTAGAAACTCAGCAAGTGTTTAGAAAATAAAGCTAAATGGGACTATGTCTTGCACAGAGGAGATGATGGACAGACAGCAACCCAGAGACCCCTAGGCAGAAGCAGTGAGATTTTCTCGTGGCAGCACCCACGGTCCTGTCTGGGATTCCTCTGTTTACCAGTGACTTTGGTAGCAGAGCAAGGGAAATATGAAGAATGTGTATTTGTGTGTGTATGTGTGTGTGCACACAGGTGTGTATAGGTCTGTGTGCTGGTGCTTATGATTGTGACCGTGTGCATGCATGTGTATGAATGTTGCATGGTGATGTGTGTGTGTATGTGTGTGTGCACACAGGTGTGTACAGGTCTGTGTGCTGGTGCTTATGATTGTGACCGTGTGCATGTATGTGTGTGAATGTTGCATGGCGATGTGTGTGTGTGTGTGTGCACTCTACAGGGGAGTAGGAGGTCTCTCTCAGCAAAGATCTGGAGCAATGATCTTGTGGGGACAGGCAATCGCCCTCTCTCTCCTGCCATCCTCCAGCCTTTCCTCTTGTTTCCCTCTTATCGGCACATCTGTCCTGAGGCACTTTGCAGCTTTTGGTGATGGAGAGCAGGTGGTTGTGGGGAAGGAGGGAAGGTTGAGCAGAGTGGGGTTCCCACCAGTAGGCACCCTTTCTCAATACTGCTGTCCACTCTGTAGCCTTCCCACCGGAAGAGAAACAGTCCTGCTGGGGAGACAAGAAAGGGAGAACACTTTAAAAATCCCTATACCTCACCCTCTTCCTTCTATAGTGCCTCTGGCTGAACAGGAAAGGCAGGCTCTTAGCCTCCTCCTGAGTGTGGGGTGGAGGTACTATGGTTTTTCAGAAGGATTCCCCCTCCCTCGAGTTTCTCCTTGTGACCTGAGGTCACAATGTTCCACATTCCGCCATCAGAGCTTCATTTTTTTGGTTGCCTCCTCCCATTTGACACATTGCTTTTCACAGTTTAATTTTAAAAATATTTTATATTTTCATGATTTTAGTCATAAAACTATGTTCTACATGTGATAACCATATCCTACAGTCAGGATACAGAACAGTTCCACCATCCCCAAAATGACCTTTTGAAATTCATGCCCTCTACCCACTTTAATCTCTGCCAGCTCTGAGCTACCCTTCATTACTTGCACTTCGTCCTCTCCATAATTTCATATAAATGGAATTTTAAAAGTTCATGAGCTTTGAGTCCGACTTCTTTAAACTGGCAAATGCATTTAGGATTCTTCCATGTTGTTTTGGGTGTGTGTCATTCCTTT